TATTTTTAATTTCTTGATTCACTTGCCCACTAAGCATTTAAAAAAAAATAAAAAATGGTTTCTTTTCTATTTATTACCCAATGGTACATACTGAGAAATGTACCTTTCTAATATTTGTTTAAAGATAATACATATATACTGTGTTCTTTTCACTAAAGCCAGTCAATATATTGTAAAGCTGCCGTTAAAGGATCACTATAGTGTTAGGAAAACAAAGCGGTTTTCCTGACACTATAGTGCCCTGAGGGTGCCCCCACCCTCAGGGTCCCCCTTCCGTGGCACTGAAGGGGTTAAAACCCCTTCAGCAGCTTACCTTATTCCAGCGCCGGGCTCCCTTGGCGCTGGTGACCTCTCCTCCCCCGTCCGACATCACCAGTGCCGCTCGCATTCAAAGTGTCCATAGGAAAGCATTTCTCAATGCTTTCCTATGGACATTCTGCGCGATGGGGGCATAATATGCCCGCAGCGTCGCAGATGCGCCTCTAGTGGCTGTCCAGAAGACTAGAGGCTGGCTTAACCCCAAATGTTAACATAGCAGTTTCTCTTTACATCTGAAGGGTTAAAACCTCAGGGACCTGGCACCCAGACCACTTCATTGAGCTGAAGTGTCCCTTTAACTTATTAATATTGGCCTTTTTAAAATTATAAGTTTTAGTATACCCCATGTGCTTTAGTTTTTTTAGAGTTTATTTCAAAGGACACTATATTGTAATCACCATTACCCAAGTGCTCATCTACTTGAATGTTGGTCAAAAGATCAATGTTGTTTGTTAGAACCAGGTCCAGATGACCTTGAACGTGCAAAAAAAAAAAAAATTACAAAATTTAAATATGAAATATTTACAGGTTTATTTTCTAAAGTGAAAATTTGCAGTGAATTTCAAATTTAAGGCCACATTAGGCAAACTGGAAGTATTGCTATTCAGCTATTTTTACCTCAAATTTGAAATTCACTTTGAATCCTCAATATAGTAAATAAACTCTTTAGAAGTATTTTTCCATGTATAAGACTGTTTTTTTTGTCTAAAATTTGGGGTCATTACGAAATGTCACTGCAGGCAGGGCCAGATTAAGAGCCCAGTGGGCCTGGTGCTGACAATTATGATGGGGCCTAATTACAGAATCTTATCGACCAAAAACACTAAAACAGTCATACCTCTCAAGCTTCATGTATCTGATGGAGATGGTGTTGGAGTGAAACTCAAGGATGCAGCTATAAGAAAACGCATACGCTATGCTATTCTCTTTATCTAATTTATGCTTTCATCTTTTAAGTAAATCCATACCCCCTAACAGCAGTGTCCAGTGAAACAGGAAGTCAATGGGTAGGTTAAAAGAGTGGGCCACTGATGCGAATCACGTGACCAGAAGTGCCAAAAGGAGCGAACATGCCCAAAAAGGGGGTATGTGTGTCCAAAGAATTGGAAGGCCAGCCTGGCATCAGTGTCCCTATGTATCACAGTGTCAGTGTCCCAATGTCGCCCCCAGTCCCCAGTGTCTGTGTCCCCATTTCTCCCAGTGTCCCGTGATACTAGGGGACACAGGGAAACATGGGGGCACTGAGACACTTGGGGACATGGGGGCGCTTGTGGATACAGAGATGGGAACACTGGGAGACATGGGGACACAGACACACTAGGGACACTGGCTGGGAGACAAGGGGGCACTGGGAGACACTGTGTTCCTAGTGTCTCTGTGTCCCAATGTGTCTACCTATGTCTCACAGGGTCCCCATGTGTGTCAGTGTCCCCATGTTTCCCAGTGTCCCCACGTCTCCCAATGTCCCCTAGTGTCTTTGTCCCTTAGTCTACCTGCTGCCTTTCCCCTTATCCCTCACTTCCCTGAGCTGTAGTCGGTCTCTGCAGGATGGGAGCTGCTGTCTAAACTCTCTGTGCTGTGTAGCTGCTCCCCTGCATATCAGTGTGTAGAGAGAGGCAGGGAGGGATATGCTGTAACTTCCTATCCTGCTTACACAGTGACCGCTACTGGCTGGTGCTGGTATTACAGAGTAATCTCGGTTTAAACTGGAAAAAATATTTGCATTTGTATTGCCGGTATTTCTGCAATACCATCATGGCCAGGCAGCCTCAACTACCAGCTGTGCCTTAAAATACCAGTCAGGTAACAAACCTAAGAGTAGTGTGTTAAAAAAAAAAAAAAAAAAAGTTAGACTTTTTTTTTTTAAACGTTCCTCTTCCATGGGCATGGGCCTGGAGCTGCAGCTCCATCAGCCCCTATGTTAATCTGGCCCTGACTGCAGGGGTTAAAACCCCCCCCCAAAAAACACTCTTGAGCGTGGGGCCTGACAGCCAACCAGCTAGTCGCATGTGGCGGGAGCTCCTTAAAAAATATAATTATTAAGCTGACATACAATTACCTGCTGACATACTTGAAGCAGAGAAGGCGCTTCTCCGTGAATTTGATTGAGTGCCGGGGTCTGGGAGATCTTCCGTAACCACATGCTTCCTCGCATCACTCTGGACCAAGCCAAGACCTCATGGCTCCAGACAACAGACAGATGCCGCAGGATGAGGTCTTGCCCAGACATTTCCCATAGGGTACCGCGGGCAGAGGGCATCGTTGCTGCCAACAGCTGGACGGCAGTCCAGGGAACCAGTGTCCAGACACCGGGGATCGGCCTACCAACTTGTGAGGGGGCCCGGGACCCGTTGGGGATCCTAATCATAACCAAACTAGCCTTCAGTGCTATAGATGTTTAAAATGAGTATTTCTTAATTTGGGGTTAAAAAAAATAGGGGTCCTCTTATACATGGAAAAATACGGTATGTTTATAAACCTCTCAGTGAGATATAAATTCAGCCTCACTCCACTTACCAAGAAATTATGAATGATGCCATGGCAGCCCCTGCATTGGGATTACATATTTGTTGGTCATTGTTGGTATTTTAGGATTACATATTTGTTGGTCATATCCACTTATACAACTGGCATCATGCACACAAGGGCACATCTGGGCTCTGCTCATCCATTCCCCTTTGAAGCTTTATGTATGCTTCCTCATTTTATCTCATAAGCTATCCCAGAGTTAAAAATAAATAGAGAACTAATATAAACAAAGCAATCATATGTCACTTTCACAATGTAGTCAAGTTTTTAGTCCTGACATTTGGTAGGCCCAACCATCAATGACATATTGTCTTTCCAGAAGTTTAAAGATATTTACTGTACAGAAGAATCAACATAATATTACTGTCAGGATAGACACACACCACTGGTTTTGTGGTAGACATCTATGGAATGCCCCAGAGCCATATGACCACATATGGGGCAAGTGCTGTACATAAATCAGGACTAATACGCATGTGTAGGAATGTTGATACATAATACAGTAGTAAATGCCTCGAGTGACCACCCGCTCCATGTCTGCACTGGGATGTGGGCTAGTGTTCTCATCAGTAGCCTTGCCTTCACTGTCAATTTGAAGGCAGCATTTGGACAGACTGAATTTCCCGCATACCCTCCTTCCGTGGCCAGCAGGTAGTCTAGGGCCAGGTGGTTCTGATAGATACCAGACAGCATTCTAGTATTTTGCTTGGCTAAGAGATTGAGGGCTTTTGCTGTTTCATTTGTAAATTTCTCAAACACGGCTTGTAACCTAATTATACGATTCAGCATTTACACAGGGGTGGGATAGCTATAAATATCATCTTCGACTCAAGTGGGGGGTTATAATAGTTAATTATACATTTAGGGGGCAACTCGTCTTTCCATTGCCCTATAGTCTGTTCATATACTGGGGATCCTAGTTAACCGTTCTAAATACACAGGCTCCTGCCCAATCCTTAGGGTGTTCAGACTAGGCCTTATAGCCACAGATCCAATACATATTGTTGCACGCTCTCTAGGTAGGCAGATTGATACATACATCCTTCAGATTGGAATAGTTTCCAAAGGGGCTAGGGACCGGATTATGGATATTGGCTTCAGACCATCAGAGTTATAAGCTTGTTGCCTAAACACGTGAGAGTACCTACAAAACTTAAATTCTGGACCAGATCTGCCTATGCACACATTCCCGATTATTGAGGTTTTTAGCAACCATTCAGATTTGGGCGGGGCCGCACATTTCTGCAACAGTTTAAAGTAAAGTATTATGGCTTGTGTTTTCCTGTCTTTTGCCACTTGTTTCTTTTGTATTAATTTGTGTATTTTGTCTTACTATATTCTGTATAATTAGTGTTTGAATAAATTGTAAATGCTCTGATAAATGCTAGTTGCAACCTAGTATGAAGAATCTCTGGTTCTGCTTTGTTACTGTTGGAATGGTGTTTTTTCCTTCATGTTGCTCATCTCCTCGTCTTCCCCATTTTGTAATATTTTTTTTATTTTGCACCCTCTTTTTTGATACTTTTACAGTATTTACAATATTACACGATATTCTCTTTTTACACATTGCCATGGCAACTTATGAGATTTTTAGCAGTTACCTTTCTCAATACCATGTTTGTTTTGATATGTAACCCCTTATTTTTTCTCTTTTGCATCCCACTAAGAAACCTTTGTAAATTAAGATTTTTTTTTGAACATTCAAAACACTTTAATGATTAGACATCTTACCTTGGATCTGCAGTGACCTTCTCTCCAGCCTGAAGCTACTGCATTGAGCCAAGCGAGAGAGATGCGCATTGGCAGACATCACTCAGCTGATGCTCTTATTCAATAAGCTGACCCTGTATGTGTCCAGAGGAGACAGTGACAGGTGACCAGCAGACACAAGGCGAGTTGTCAAACAGGCCCCAACCATTCTACCCTGGGAGAACAATATTGGCACTACTGGCAACACAACGACAACAGCGGGCTGTTATGGTTATGGTGCTTAGTTGTTACCTTTAAAAGAGAATAAAATGTACCAGTTACATGTAATTTAAATTGGCAAGTAAATGCAAATGTATAAGCCAGTTGGTGCAACTTAACAGAAGCAACCCTAATATTTCCACAGATGGTGAAATTTAGCATTAAAACCATGTTTAAAAAAAACTCTTGTCAACAAGATTTAACACACTACTAATTTACATGTCACATTTTTAACCAAATACAGCATTTCTCCTATGGTAACATTTTCCTACATTACTTTAAATCTTCTGCACCAGAATATTAAGACAGTTCATCTGTGCGTAGTAAAATCAAAGGCTTTCTTAATTTGGCAATAGAGTTTATTAATTGACGTCTAGTAAAGATTTTTAAATTTTGAGTTTGTACTGCAACAATACTAGAATTTAGCATTTACAAAAGATTTATAAATGATGTCAGCAGCTCTGCCCCTGGTAATACCGTGTCACGGACATGTTTAATAAATTCTGTCAGGTCAATATGCTGGAAAATAAAGGTAGGTATTTTCAAATACAAATGAAAATTGGCATTCACAAACATTTAAAGCATCCATGACATTCTCCTACAAATACTGTATTATACTTTTGATACCACAAGACACGTTATCTAAGACAAATGTAAAAACTCATAGTTTAGTTAAGGAAATTATAGGCTTGTGCTTTCAATAAATATGGGCTCACCAAGGATTACTAGGAAGTTTATTAGCAAGTTGTTTTGACCAGACAAAAAGTCCTGTAGAAAAGGGTTTGACAAATTTTCCTGAGGCCAAATGTTCTGCTTCTATCAAGGCCTAAAAGTTACTAGCTACGGCAGAGCTTCTTCTGGTCTCATTGAATACATATGGTAGTAGCACACAGTGGCTTGACTGTAACACAATCCCTTATTTAAAAGCTTATCACAGAGACGTCATGCGACTTATACAGTAGAACCTTTGTGTACACCAACATTTTGTCTTTAGGTGTCCCTAAACCTCTATATGGATGAGGAAGATAAATAAACGTACCTGTGATCTCTTCCCGTCAGTCTGTCTGGGTATGCAGAATGTTTGTGACATATTACAATATACCTCGTGCATGACCTACTTTGGGTTAGAGATTGTGGCTAACAGGCACACTTGATGTCTACAGAGTTTTAAACTAATGATATCTAATTATTGCCATTCTTGATGGCCACGGACATTAAGAGTGCAGCTCCTTTCAAAAGTTGCTCTTTTAATAGATTACGGAGAAAAACTAGACAGTACACTTGCCAGGGTTGAATTTATACTTGCCAGTGGCCAGTTACCAGTGCGCAAGTGGACATTTTGAGTCCTGACTATATAGATCAGAGTGTAAAATAATTTCAGTGTGGGTGAGTGGAAGAATACAAAGTCAGTTGAGTGTCTACAATTCAGGCATAAACCCTGCGTTTTCAAAAATTCACACAATGGAAGTGAGCTTCAACACACATGGGGTTTTAAATTTCAAGCGGCTACTCTTGGTATTCTTCTGTCAGTAATGCATGCTGCTGAGTTGGTAAAGAAAATACATAGAACTGAGGATGACAAATTGGAGTCTCCCTTTTTTAGGTAGTGTGTGGACCTTTATTTACAGAACACAGAGCTCAAGCAGTGATTTCTAGCCAAAACATACTCATCCTGCACCAGATGCTTAAGTTCCCGTCAGCCACATACATATTCTTCTAATCTTTATCGGTCTATACAATGAATGAGAGTAATGTACTTTATTAGAGACGCACACGGGAGAGAGCAGTAAGGAGATGGCAGTATGTGCCAGCCAATCCCCTGCAACATATAACGCACATCAGGAAAGATTGTTTTCTCACTCCACTGGTAAGGAGGCGACTTCATGGTTCCATGTACTGTTTCTGAAATGCCATGGCATACTAGAGCCTTGAATTTATTGGGCCCTGCTCCAGAACAATATATTTAGATAAAGATCATAGTTTACTGAAATATATGCTTAAATTTATATATAAAAATAATTTTAATTTCTTATAACAAAGTGCAACAAGTTGTCTCTCTCTATATGTCACATATTGAGTGTCACTTTATTGGACTATTTAACCCCTTAAGGACACATGACATGTGTGACATCAGGATTCCCTTTTATTCCAGAAGTTTGGTCGTTAAGGGGTTAAAGGTGCACTCACAGCAACATAACCATTACAACTCAGTTTAGTGGTTATGCTCCCAAGAGTCTACAGGCACTAAACAGACGTTTGCTTTGAACGGTTCGTCTGAATGAAATGCCTTTTAATCCAAACCCAGACAAATCGATCAATCCGGGATTTACCTTTGGAGTCTTTAATAATGCATATGACTCCACAGGTAAATCCTAGATGTGCATTAAAAGGCATTTGATTTGGACAAACTGTCAAAAAGTAACAAATCTAATATTCCATTTTTTTTGGTTAAAACTAGAGCTCTTCACAGCATCCACTGATCATACATTCTTTATCAATTTACACTTTTGAAAATATACATAACAATTCAACCAGCATGGATGGTAATGATAAGTTTAAAGCACTAGGTTAATCTACCTTCAGTACTCTAAGCATATTACTACCATCTAGGTTGCACGAAACATACTGATAATACAAAAGTGCAAATTTCACTTAGAAAGTTGCTGATAAGGGGTGGTCAGTGGGTGCTGGGTAGATCCCAAAAATGTTCCTAGAGGTTTTAAAAACTGGATAATAGTGCCCACATACTCTTTACCCACCAAAGAAGACATTGCATATTCCATACTATTACGACATCTACTTCTTATATCATCATATCTCAAGGAGGCTAGAGTGCAAGAAGATACTTTCTTCCATCCGTGTACTAGTTAATGTATCAATTAGAAATAACTGTTACCAATTAGTGCCTAATAGCATGAGGGACCTAGGTCAATGGATGAAGATCAATGAAGAAAACTGCAGTATATGGACACCTGAAATGTTCTAAAAGCCAGAGATCTATACCTGACTAAAAACAATGACCAATAACAATAAGTTGCATCAAAAGGCATCCTTAATATTTTTGAGCTGGCGGACAGCAAGGTCAACTGGTAGGTTAAACTTCAGATTACTGAGTTGGCTAAGAATATTTAGGGCACTTTCAAAACCGCTGCTGGCCATGTAACTCCAATGTTGGTAATGTGGATGTACTAGAACTCCTGACTTGCAGATAAGGTTGAGCCAAGACACCAGACGTTGCTCATTTAAAGCTATGCAAACCAATGCCTTGAACTCAGAGTCTGCACCACGCTTGAAGGGATCATGCTCTGTCAAGACTGTGTGGATAGCCGTAAGGAGGCTCTGTTTAGGAGTGACCTTATTACTTCCTGAAACAGGCAATGAGAAAGACTGTGATAGTTTGCGAGCAGGTGATTCCACAAAAGCTCTTCCATTGTTCTCATTATAGTATTTCACAAAAAGTTCCCATGGATGCATAGAGGGTGATGACGTGGTAAAAACAGGAATCAGACAGGCAATGGGGGCAAGCACCAGGCTCATTCCTTGGGATGGTGCATACAGACCATGTGACAATAGATCTCGTATGGCAATTGCCAGATCCTTTCTCACAGCAACTGTCAGTTCATCCTTTCCACCAGATATATTTCCTTGCATAGAGGCATAGCATATAACATGGTCATGAGGCTGCTGTCTAACTGCCAGCTGCTTTACTTTCTCCACAGACGTCTGCAAGTTCTTGATCAAGGGCGAGAAATCTCTATTGCTTTCATCAGGTTTCCAGAGATTGTTTGGCGCATGCCCAGTACCACATCCAAACTGACTGACAGCAAATATCTGCAAGACAGCCATGGCTCGACGTAAGAGATTAAGTCCTGCCTCTTGCATCTGTTTTGCTTGCTCAGGACTAACTGTATTCGAAAGAAAGACAAAAGGGCAAGTTTGAAACTTGTTTAAATTTTTTTACATTTAATATATTTTATGCAGCTTATCCCATGTAAAAAAAAAATGAAAAAAGGTAAGTTAAGTGCACAGTGTATACTGCTGCGATTCCGAATGGCAGCATGTGTTATATCATGGAAAGGAGGTACTATCACAAACATTTTAGGGAAAAGAGAAACAAAATAAGGTTAAATGCGGATTTTGATTTATATATATTTTTTTTAACAATACTCAAGAAGTTTTGTTTCTTTACCCACATAATTATGTATGGTTTTATCTCGCTATATCTATTGTCTCCTATCTCTTTATGTTTCTTGGTGGATGGTGTGTGTGTGTGTGTGTGTGTTATTTTTTTTGCCATTTATCCTTTTTTTTTTTTTTTTTTTTTTTTTTTTTTTTTTTTTTTTTTTTTTTTTTTTTTTTTTTTTAATTCTTTATTTTTTCTGTGCATAGGTTGTTACAGACAAGTGTCAAGTGCCACAACAGCACACATACATAGGCCATTGGTTTTATCACAGTGGCACTAAAGAGAGCTGCACATTTTTGTTTATGTCTTGGAATAAGCTATGAACAGTGTTTACATGTAATATATATAGTTTGGCAAACATGATATGCTATGGTAGTATATAGCTGTGACAGGGCATCTGGATGATTTTTTTTATATATATACACTTTAATGATTTGTTATGTTTCAATTTTATTCTTATTTTTTAATTTGTACATTTTTTTTAAATTCTCATTTCTATTGTTTCCATTATAATGCATTTATCCTCTTTCATTTGTACCTTATTTCCTCTTGATTTTTCCTACACCTCCCTCCACACCAATATGGATTTAGTTAGTTAATTCACCTTTTTGGCTACCTCTGTTATTTAATTTTATGCTTCCTTATTTGTCTCTCTTTCCCATACATTCAGCCCCTTTCTCCTCCCACCAAGTGACTACATTCGGCACCATTTTGCCAAAGGTAGTCTTCATATAATCTTTATCCTGTTCTTACGATAATTGCCCTCATTTTGAATTTTTCTCTATTGGGTCCACTTCCCCCTTCCCTCCTCTATTAGAAATTGTTTCCTTTTCTATAGTTTGCATATTTGCCGGTAGTCACGAGTCACACAGCTCAGACCCGGGCCCCATATTGGAGTATCTCTCCTTTTTCATTTTACATCTCCTCTTCCAAATCATGTTGATTTTTTTTTTTTTTTGTCCAAAGTACCTTTACACTATAGTGTATTCCGTCTCTCCTAATATTAAAAATATTGTAAGCCACATAATTCGCTAGACAATGCCATTTTGAAGTAGCCATACACTTAATATTGTGATAGATCACTATTTAGCCCTTGCTTCTACACTTTTTAATGTATATTTATTGTCCAATCTGTACACTACAATTTATTGTTAATATGCCAATTCATTTGCGGTCACGTGGCGATGACATAATTTGACCGTGTATTTTTGTATTTGCTATATGAAGATAGGTCTCCAGGTCCCTGTAACACGTTGATAAAGTCTATTCTGTTGGCAAAACACATTATTGTTTATTGTTGTTATTATTATTGCCATTTATATAGTGCCAACAGATTCCGTAGCCCTTTACAATATTATGAGAGGGGGGATTTAACAACAAATAGGAAAATTACAAGAAAACTTACAGGAACGATAGGTTGAAGAGGACCCTGCTCAAACGAACTTACAGTCTATATTGTTAAGATCATTTTATTATTTTATACTATTAATAAAGAACAAATATTTTTATTATACAAAACAAGAAATGGTGTTGTGTGGATAAATAGTCAATAGAGACCAATACAGTGGAGGTAAATAAAAAAATAAAAAAAAGTGTTTTTACCTTGGGATACTTCCCTATATTGGTAACTCCTAAATTTGGAGCTCTACACTGAGGAAGTTCACAGGACGAAATCGTTTGGACACAGGAGCATTGTGAGCTTTCATAGTTTTTCAGTTTGGTACTTTATCCATATAGGGACAAGCCCTGAAACAAGGGAGACCCAGAACCAGCGAATGTACGGAGGACTGGTGGAAGATTTGGAACTCCACATCTGTGATATTATATGTGGATTGTGAATAACCAATATAGGGAAGTATCCAAAGGTACAAATACTGTGTTTTATTAACCTCCACTGTATTGGTCTCTAGTGACTATTTATCCACACCACACTATTTCTTGTTTCATAGATTTGGTTTTATTTCACGGATTTCAGAGTTAACCAGGGTGTTGGTGATATTGGGGTGATCACTAATTGTATTATTATATTATTGTTTTTTTTCTTTATATGTTTTTATTAATCCTTGACCTTCCTGTGCTTCTCACTGCCTTATGAGTTTTCTTGGTTTTGAATATAACACCTTAGCCCTAAGGATTGCGAAAACCAATATTTGCTCTTTTTACTGTTAGTATTTTCCATTTGTTTACACACTAATGGTATGCACTATATAGCCTTGTTTTCTGTGCCATATCCACACTGAGAGGACCTGAACCACCCACATATCCCAGAGTGGAGATCATACCACTCTACACCACATGAGCCACTTTAGAGCTCCAATAAATGTGGGTGTATATTATTTTATGTATATTCATGTTTTCCTTTTATGTTCCCTTCTGCTGCATATTTCATAGAATAACAGATTTTGGAACACACGTCCTACAAAAGGTAAGAAAACCTGAAATAGTTATTCAAACTTGTACCGCTTAGCAAAGTAATTTTTATAATGTGGTTTATTTATTTTTTGGCAAAATACTTTCATCATTGATTATACCTTTACTTGGAAAGTGAGGCACTAAAAACGTATCTGTGCCACGTAGAAGTTTAACCTATTTTAAATTTGTCCCCTACCTACTGCCATGTTGTGCAGGTCTGCGTTCGTGTAATAAAAGAACCAACATCTTCCTCATGTACTGGTTTTACAAGTTTTTTTGGGAAGTCATAGAACCCAATATGTTAGATGAATTTTTCAACTTGGAAATTTGACCACTTAATTTTCTGGGCTTATGTCGCTTTTGAGGCAGCATTGCAGTACGGGCAATAAAATTACCTGCATGATTACATACCATTTTTTTTTTAAAGTAGGCAACCAAATGGTGTAATTTGAGATGCTTGCTCTAGCCACTTTATCACAAATGCTGGACACATTTAGTAGTTGTGACGGTAGTCACCATCACTGGAAGCAGAAGGACACTTTACTGATTTGTTCTTATGTTTTAGTCATCCTGTACCCATTAAACATGCAGTGCATGTATAATATGGTTGCGGCTAAAAGGTTTGTGTGCTCTCCTGTCCTGCTGATGCTTGCCATCAGCTAGGTGGATTTTGCTATGGAGCCCATATAGGGTCATCTGTTGGTAGCAACAGCTATATGCACTACCTGAATAACAAGGCTTGATAATTTACATATTCAGGTAGATCTGCATATTGCCAATTCTGCAGGCAGGAGAGATATTTTGTGTTTAATATCTTTGCCCACCTCATTACAAATATGTTTTTATAATTTTCTGTATGTTTCCTTGTTTTGGTTATTTGCATTTTATTCAGTTTGTCACAACAATCTTAATGTAATAAGCATATGGGCTAGTCCCACGTAAAAAAATAAAGCCGTGTATGTTAGTTCCATTTGGAACCTTGTGGATTTTTACAGATCCCAGCAACAGAGTTGTAGTACCTGTTGGCTGGCTGCAGGATAACTCTAGTCCTGGGACCATGTCTTTATAAAGACAAGAGCAATAACATTGCAGGCAGAGGTGCATACCTGCCTGGAAGGAAAGCTACAGAGGTACAGGCAAAAGAAGGGACAATAGCTGCCTGGAAGAAGGACTGCAGAGGAATAGGCAGAGGGGACCATAACTGCTTGGAAGGAGAGCTGCAGCCTGGTTGGGTGGAAGAGCTCCAGAGAAACCCCTGTCAAGCCTTGGGTTGGAGAGCTTCAGGGTTCCGGCAAGCGTTTTGGAAGCGAACTGGGTGGAGGTACATTGTCACAGTACAGGAGCTATGCCACAGTGGTTACATTTTCTTTTGTGTTTTTTCACACACATAAAATGTTCTAATTCTGATATGTGCAATAAAGCCTCAATATTTGTATTTACATTCTCTCACCAATATAACAGTGCCCCATATACGTTTTTTTCAGGGAGGGGGTTTCACTATGTAACAACAAAATATATCAGATGCCCTTTTATTATTAATTTTATATAGGTCCAACAAATTTGCTTTACAATGGGTGGACTAACAAACATGTAATGGTAACCAGACAAGTTTGATGCACAGGAACAGAGGGGTTGAGGAAACATGCTAGAGGAATTGGGATAAAGTGACACAAAAGGTAAGGATAGTATTAGGAAAGTAGATTGGTAGAATAGTATTCACTAAAGACTTAGTGTTTTTTTGTTTATTTTTTAATGACCATTGCAGGAGAGGAATAAGTTGCGAGCCATTAAAAGTTTAATTGATACACTTTTGTGAAAAAGTGAGTTTTTAATGGTGTTTTGAAGGCGTGGAGACTGGGTGAGTGTCTAATGGAAAAGGGAAGTGAGTTCCACAAGAGCGGTACAGCCCTAGAGAAGTCTTGAAGGCGAGCATCAGAGGTGGGAGTACAGAGGATAGACGTAGGGCTTTGGCAGAGCGTAGGGGCCTCGACGAGACATACTTGTGTATTAGGGAGGATAGATAGGTGGGAGTATCATTATCTAGAGATTTAAAAGAGCAAGAACCAGATTTTTTAATTAATCCCTATATCTTACGGGAAGCCAATGAAGGGACTGACAGGGGGAGGATGAAGCGTGGGAGGTGTGGGCGGATAGGAAGATGAGCCTCGCCGCCACATTCATTATAGACTGTAATTGAGGCAAGTTGTCCTTTTCGAGACCTTAGGTGAAATTCAGACATGAGGCCCCCACTAACCGTTAGTGGGGGGAAAACAAAAACAAAACAGGGGTTGCCTTGTGTGTCTATAAAGAGCTGTAGATATATTGAAGAGCGGGCTTGCAGCATTGGATACAGAATCCCTGTACCACAGCATTGTGAGCTCTCGGACTGTAGTTACAGCATAATTTGCAATAAACAAATTTAATTTGCAAGTATGCAAATTGTTTATACAATATTGTGGGGTGTGGTTGTATAGCCTGGCAGTCGTGTATACATAATTGCCGGTATGAATGGATTACAAAAATTTAAATTTTGGTTGGGCTTTAAAAAAGATAATTTACCAAATAATAAAGATACATGTAAGAAAACAGTATCATAGGCATTTTCCCCACATATTCTATAATTCTTTACACATATATACTTCAAAAAAAATCGTTAAAAAACACACTTCTTCATAAAAGTATCAATTAAACTATTAATAGCTCCCGACTGATTCCTCTTCTGCAACTGTCATTAGTCTAATACTATCCTTTACCTTTTTGTGTCATTTTACCCCACTCCCTCTAGAATGTAAGCTCATTGAGCAGGGCCCTCAACCCATCTGTTCCTGTGTGTCCAACTTGTCTGGTTACAACTACGTCTGTTCGTCCACCCATTCTAAAGCGCTGCGGAATTTGATGGCGCAATATAAATATCATAATAATAATAATAATATATTTACACACACACACACACATATATATCATATTTGTGTTTTCCCATGTATTGTATATATATGTATAAAATATATATGTTGCCACTTTACCTTTGCATTGCCCATACCATAACACCTTAACATTGCAGACAGACACATACACACCAATACATGCACATATATACACAAACATATCTACACACTGATACATGCATACCCAAATATTGACTAATACAGACATACAGTCACAGTGTGTTTTTTGTCTGGTTGTTTGTATTTCTTAGTGGGTCTTGCATTATCTAACTGTGTATGTGCCTGAGAGTGTGCGTTTGACAGTGAGTATCCTTGTTTGTGAATGTATGTTTCTGTGAACTTTATCACAAATGCTGGACACATTTAGTAGTTGTGACGGTAGTCACCATCACTGGAAGCAGAAGGACACTTTACTGATTTGTTCTTATGTTTTAGTCATCCTGTACCCATTATACATGCAGTGCATGTATAATATGGTTGCGGCTAAAAGGTTTGTGTGCTCTCCTGTCCTGCTGATGGCGCAATATGTGTGTGGGGTTTTGTGCATATGGTGGGGCTGCCTGTGGCCTTTGAGCACTGTGTTTATGGAGAAGCTATGTTTATGACTGTGTGTATGATGATTGTCTTCAGGGGGTGACGGTGGCAGGGTAAGTGTGAGTGTTACAGGGTGAGGGGAGGTAAGTGTGAAAGGATTAGGGAGTTAAAGTGACAAGGTGAATGTGGCATGGTGGGGTTGGCACGAGTATTACAGGACAAGGGGAGGTGAATGTGACAAGATTAAGGGGGGTTAATTGACAGGTTGAGTGTGGCAGAGTGAGCGGGCTGAGTGTGACATGGTTGGAAGGTGAGTATCCAGGGTTATTCAGGGTTGGGGTGAATGTGTCATGGGTGGAGGAGTGAATGTGACAGGATTAAGGAGGGAGTTAATTGACAGTATGAGTGTGACAAGGATTAAAGATGTTAAAGGGACTCTCTAGTCACCAGAACAACTACAGCTTATTGAATTTGTTCTGGTGAGTAGAATCATTACCTTCAGGCTTTTTGCTGTAAACACTGTCTTTTCAGAGAAAATTAAGTGTTTACATTACAGCCTAATGATAACTTCACTGGTCACTCCTCAGATGGCTGTTAGAGATCCTTCCTGGGTCATGGCTGTCTAAAATGCATCCAAACATTCAGTATCTCCTCCCTCTGCATGCAGATACTGAACTTACCTCATAGAGATTCATTAATTCAATTCATCTCTATGAGGAGATGCTGATTGGCCAGGGCTGTGTTTGAATCATGCTGGCTCTGCCCCTGATCTGCCTCTTTGTCAGTCTCAGCCAATCCTATGGGGAAGCACTGTGATTGGATCAGGCTACCACTTTTGATGATGTCAAACAGCATGCAGAGTTACAGCTTCAGGCTTGAATACAGTAAGATTTTGCTATATTTATGGAGGCAAGAGAGGCTAGATGGTGGTTTTAACACTTTTGGGTTCAGGAATTCGTTTGTGTTCCTGACCCTATAGTGATCCTTTAATGTAAGGAGGGCAGGGTTTGTGTAAAAGTATTGTGGGTGAGTGTGGCATGGTTGGAGTAGGGAGTGTAATAGGACGAGGGGAGGTGAGTTTTGACAGGATTAGAAGGGGGTTAAGGGAGGGAAGTGCGGCAAAGTTGGAGGGGGTGAGTGTGAATGGGTAAGGAGGAGTTGCTGTGAGTGTAGCAGGGTGACTGTGTCTAGATGGGGGTGATCGTGTGTGTGTGTGTGCGGGGCTGACAGTATGGAGAGACAAACAGTGGGGGGTGACAGTGTATGATAGAGTGTAAGGGGAATGACATAGCCTTTTTTTTTGGTTAATCAATTCCCTGGTGGTCCAGTGGATTTCCGCGGTGGTCCAGTCTCCCTGAGCACCGCAGGGTGTAGAGCTGCAGACCACGTGATAGCAGTATCGCACTCTTCAGATGTGTCAGAGCTTTGCCGTGGTAGCCTGCGGCAACACTGATTGGCTGGAGGTCGCGAGACACTTCAGTCTGCAGCTCTGCACCAGGCGCTGGCTCTTTTTCCTCCTGGCGGTGGTTTCAGGCCCTCAGTCACAGTCAGTCTACCCTAAGATGACTTATGCTGCCGCCTAAATCACCTAATTAGAGAGGTGTCTCTGATTGTAATTAAGACGCCTCCCAGTAGTGGGAAAGGTGTAGTCTGTGAATTTCCTTTAAACAAAACACTTGTGAAAAAGAATACAACTTATTGAATATTTTTACATAGGTTTGTAATAATACTAAATGAAAAGTGTCAAAATGCTGTGGGATGTACTTATTACAAATACTTACTTTTGTGTAGCGGTTTTGGATTCTGGGAGTACTATAAAAGATTTTGCAAGGTTTTAACTTTAAAACCGTAATATGCTCCTTGCAATATTTGTTTTATTAACTCTAAAAATTTATTGAAATCCTAGACATATTGGCATTAGTAAAAAACCAGGGCTAATTAGAACCTATTTTGAATTAGGTTTCTTTAGTTGCACTACATGTATAAACATTAGTAAAAGTAAAACCGAGAAAAATATTTTAATTTTTTTTTATATTTTACTCCTATTTACTATTGTGATATGTAAACAAATAGGGTATCAAAAGAAAGCCATATTTATCATTGAATATGATATATAATGTATGGGTGCATTTAAAATGTGAAATACTCATATCGACTGTGTTGAAATTTCACGGACTACTTTGTCTCAGTAATTTTCCTATGCCTTAACACTGAGTGGAGCTATCGGTGTCAAGAAGTGTCAATTACCCAGCAGTCACCAATGATGGCTGCAGGGAAATTTACTCTGTCTATAGAGAATCACGTGGTTACCTCTCTGCTCTAATCTAGTGCATACCAGGATCCAGGAGCAGAAGGTGACCGGCTGTAAGAGGATGACAGCGACTATGTCACAGTCGAGTGTCTCTGCAAATGATGCAAAATCACCCCATGTTGACAGTGCCACTTTAAGCATAAAGAGTGAAATGGTGGTAGAATGACCGCATGACAAAAGTGCAAAAAAGGCCTTGGTGACAAATGCCTTGTGTCTCAAAATAGCCCTTAAACAAACCATTATATATGCAAAATGACAAAGGAAGCATGGTTTAACCTTGCAGTGGAATAGGATTTTATTATATTGAATTCTTTACCATTGGTTCTTGAATGTGTAGCTTGTTGGTATCCTCCTGCACCATTAGTTGAACAAGCCATGGGGCTGCCAACTTCATCTGAAAAAAAAAAAAAAAAAAAAGGAACTGAGAGCTTGTTCATATATTAAAATACTTTATAGTCAACAGCACTAGAATGGCACTAGAAAAGGTGCAGAGATGGGCTACAAAATTAATAAAAGAAATGGAACATTTTAGCTATTTAGAAAGGTTAACAAATGTAAACCTCTTTAGTTTAGACAAACATCACCTCAGAGGGATATGATAACATTTTACAAATATATCCGGAGCCAATACAAACCATTGTGTAAAAATCCATTATACAAATATATCCGGGGGCCAATACAAACCTTTGTGTGAAAAACACGACGTCATGCGTTTAGACTGGAAGAAAGCAGATTTAGTCTAAAGTTTTTTTACTGTAAGAACAATAACTGTAGGATAATAGCCTGTTACATAGGCTGAAAAAAGACATGTGCAACAAACTTCGAAATCCCACTTGTCCCCAGTATGACAGATTTATCCTTGGATCAAGAATCGTTGTGCCTTCTGCAGAATTTTCAAAGATCGTTCCTAAATTACTATATTATGAAAGACTCCATTCTGCATTACATTATCTTACATAAAGATTTACAGGCAATGCCCTTGTTCCTTGCAAGAAATGTAAAGCATGCAACATTGGGGAAAACTCAGTAAAGGTACACCTGAAGATTTTATTTATCTGTTCTTATATAGCGCTCTTATCCACAGAACTATACAATTTACTCAATAATAAAACTGGTAATAAAATATGGGGATAAAAATTTAGACACATTGGATAAAAAGGAGAAGAGAACCCTGCCCGTAAATGTACAATCTAGAGGGAAAATGTACATTGAGAAAAATGGTTGTGGGGAGAAAATGCAATTGTGAAATGAAGCTACATAGACAATCTATCAATAATCACAAAGAAAACAAATAATGCAAAACCAAAATCTAAAAATAAAAAGACAGGTTCATTCACTAAAGTCCGAATGGTATCTACTGAATGTGGCAAAACCAAACCATGTCTAGATTTTTATCACACTACAAACATTTTAACATAGCACACACTTATATTCAGCTATAATCCAGTTGTATTTATAAAAATAAGCGGAGATCTTTAGGTCTTTATAAACTTCCACCCATTACTGTACTTTTTATATTGATGTTGAATTGTATGTGGATCTCTGATGTAATCGTGTTTACTTAAAAGACACCTTGCCTGCATTAATCTGGCTACTCCACCGCTGCATCACTCATTCTCAGAACCATTTTCAATTACTTGGGATAATCATTATATGACTTGCATTTTACATTACAAATGTTAAAGGGTTAGATATTTTCTGTGTAAAAGCCTGCCCACTCTAACCTGAAAAAGATAATGCACCCAGTGCTGAATTCCAGGGCTTTGCTACTGTCATGAATGGGCAAACAGAGAAGCCAGCAATTGAACCGTTTCTCCAGCTCAGAGCGCATGCACACAATCTAAGCTGGCTGGGGGAGAAGGAGTGGATAGGAATAGAGGGGTTGGGATTTTTTTTTTTAAACAAGCAATTTTATTTGGAAGAGGGGAAGGGACAAAAATGCTTCAAAAACGTTCAATACGTTCATTGTCAGCATGATGCGAGTACCGACGACAGACATATTTAAAGCACATAATTGACATTAGATATCCCCAAAAAAGTGTGTGCTGGGGGTGTAACTAGCCCTTGGCACAGAAGTGCAGGTTACTCAGTATGTGCAATTTTTTTTTTTTTTTGGTTAATCTTTGTTTTATTGAGTCACTAAAAGTTATGGTACAAAAAAAAGAGAAGGAGTTATAGCAGATGATCACAGAACAACATTGCAAAAAAAATTCACAATGACATAATCTCCTGAGTGACAGCCTCTTTTTGTTGGTGTTTTTCAATTATACAAGCATAACAAACACGTCTAAACATCAGTGCTATAAGGTAGGCTAGATATGTGAATAAGTAACATGGTTAGCGTGAGTTGTACTATGAGAACAGAACTGCATTTCCAACAAGCTTAAAGTATACATGAAGGGCATAGTGCCCAATAATAATCTCATGATGGTGTTCTCAGAATGATAATACCACTGGTGCCAATCACATTAAAGAAAAAAACGGAGACATAAGATATAATATTAAAAATCTATAGTGGGTAGAAAGTAGCACGTGGTTAAATTTGGCTTTGCCTTGCATGGACCTAGGAGCCTAAGCAAGATGGGAGGCCATAAGCCACAAAGGGCATCTAGCCTATGCCCACTGACCAGTGTAGCCCATCCAAAGGTGGGTGAAACCCCTGGTTCTCTGAGGACTCTCCCCACCAACCCCAGGCTCTGCAACAGTCCAGCATCTGTTTCCCACCAGTCCGGTTGCCTTCAATGGTCCAGGCAGTGACTCGGGATCTCTTCCCAGCAGATTGTGTTTGTCCCCGAGAAATTCGTCCAGAGAGTGTGGGCTGTACTTGGGGGGGATAAACCCTAGTGGACTGAGACCCAGTGTAACGGAGCAGCCGCCTCAAATGTCACCGGCGTTAGCAGGTCCAGGCCGGAAGATAGGCTGTTTCTCCCTTCCAAGGATTACTGCAGGCTTGTAGGCCTCGGCATATGTTCAAGCTGCAAATTGTAAAATTAGGCTCCAGACACGCGTGAGGAAGCTCCACCACATGCAGGAGCAGTTACTTAGTCTCTTGGGTATCGTGTGAGGGTATTTTCCCCCTGTTAAAGCTTGTTTTGCAAGAGTTTTACAGACACTGCACATCTGGCTACCATGCTGGTCAGGCCAAGCGCCCCCATGTGCAATGTTTTAAGTTGAAACGTTGCACATATATACTACCACCACCATGACCTCTTCAAATCACTGAAATAGTCATGGTGGTTGGAGCAATCTTTTAAATTCCATTATATTGATAACAACATCAGAACAGATAATGCACAGGTATAATCTGTGTAGAGAAAAAAAAAAAAAAAAGACACCATTCTCAGGCCTCCCAACCATTACGATTTCTGTGAGACAGTCCTGATTTGTGGATCCTGTCCTGCTGTCCCAACAAGCATGTTGCAAGAAGAAAAGCAGCAATCCACCTTCAAGGAGTTCCCATCTTGTGAACAACAAGCAAATATACACAAAGTGGTGAACCACGCTTAGTGATAGTACATCAAAAATGAAAATTTACAAACAAATAATAGAGGAAACTTCCACAGGGTGTATGTTAATAGAGAAAACTATAATAGTGCTGCACAATATAATATATATTTAAATTAAAATTGCATTGCCAAAGGGACACTCACACTTTGTAGCGCTTATATATCATTATTACTGTAGGCATAGACGGTATAATCCCAGTCTGTGGATACAACTGTATCCAGAGACAGGGATTATACAGTCTTTTCCTATAAAACGGGTGTACAGCAAGGTGTTCTCCAAATCCACCTCCTAGAAGCACTTGTTGGGCAATGCCCCTTCCCCTTAAGTTTAGCTCTACCCTACTGATCTTAGTTTTTTTTTTATAAATGAGTGCTTTGAGAAGCAGCTGTTTGATGTAAAATTAATAATAAAAAATACATTAATATCATCCAGCCCCTTCCATCAACCTTAGAGATGGAGACTTTAGAGCACCATATCGGGGCTTCCGCTCTCAAATACACTCTATAGCAAACGCATTTGCTTTCTTGTAAAAATCCATGCATTTTAAAATTTTCTTTTTTTTTTTTTAATCAATCATCTCATGCTAAGGCGTGTTTATTATTTATAGTGCATCAAAATATTACATAGTTTATAAAATGGGCAGTTAGCATCATGATGATTGATTAAAATAAATATTAAAAAGTAGATACCGTGTCAGTAAATTGTGACAACCGCAATTCTAAGTAAATGTTCCTACAATTTTTGTAATCAGGAGCTTATGATCTTTCCTGTTCTTTAGGGTTAAGTATTATTTGCTCAAAGCACTACCACTAACCTTGAATGAACTGAATGAACATTTCCAAATCGCGTATCTGAGTTTTCAGCTGCTCCACCAGCTGTTCCTTCACTCTTGCTGGATTAACAATCTGGGCAATGGCTGAGTCCACTCGCTGTCGCAACTCTTCAGGAGACAGGCAGCTAATGTCTTCATTTAGATTCACATCTAACTTCTTGATTAATTCATCTATGATAACCTAAAGTACATTTGGGAAAACAGCATTTAGATAAGGACAATCCAAATATTATGTAACCACATCGAAACAATAGCAAATTGCCTATATGACAATAGGACCCACTTCTGTACCTTCAAACAAATAGTTTATTTCAGTGAGATCACATTAGGACAGAAGAAAGAACATCACCAAGAGCAATGAATAGTCTATCAATCAGTTGTTGTTACTCCTTTGAATGGCAAGTTCACATTCAAGCAGACACAGATTTATGGATAATTAAATGGATAATGTGTAAACCACTTGAAAATCAATTCCCCCTCATTCACGATGGCTGATAAATAAGGATTAAAGAAACACTATAGGGTTAGGAACACAAACATGTAGTCCTGACCCTATAGTGTTAAAACCACCTTAGAAGGGATTCAAACTTGCCTTATTTCCGGTGCTGGCCCCGACCCGGATCCTCCTCCTTGGTGACATCATCAGAATCAACGATTTTTAACCAATCCTATGCTTTCATATAGGATGCAAGGAGGCGGGATAGGGGCAGGGCCAAACACAGGCTTGGCCAATCAGCACCTCCACATAAAGATGCATTGACTCAATTCTGTGTCTCCATGCAAAGCGAGGATATGCTGAACAGCAGTGCTACACACTGTGCAGCACTGCCCCAGGAAGGAGTGGCCACTGGAGGTTTTTTATGAAAACACAGTGTTTACAGCAAAAGGCCTGCCGGGATCATTATACTCACCAGAACAACTATATTAAGCTGTAGTTATTCTGGTGACTATTGATGTTGTTTAGTCGTTCAGTCATGTCCGACTCTCCGTGACCATATGGACCATAGCACGCAAGGTACATCTGTCAGTCACTACCACTCTGAGCTTCAACAACTTCATGTTTGTGGCTTCAGTGACCTCATCTATCCATCTCCGTCGTCCCCTTCTTCGTGTGCCTTCAACCTTTCCCAGCATCAGAGTCTTCTCTAGAGAATCCTGCCTTCTCATTATATGGCCAAAATATTTGAGCTTCAGCCTCGTGATCATAGCTTCCATTGGTGACTATAGTGTCCCTCTAATAGTTTAAAAGTTATTACAGTATATATTTTTGACCAACTCTAGACCATGCTTGTAATAAAAAAATTAATAATAATAATAGAGATATAAATGCATCATTCGTTGATAATTTTGCTAGCACATCATGTTACAAGCGGTATGAAAGGTACACTTAAAACATTTTGTTGTAGTAACTCAAACTTTCTACATCATATTCTGCACATATTCTTGAAACTAACTGTAGGACACCCTAAAGGAGGCCTACAAACCCCTAAAGCACTTCTGCTTGCTGAAAAGCTTTATGTCCTATTTTTTTCGGTTGGAAAAAGGGGCAAATTTCAATAGAATTTACACTTTTCTAAATTATACTGGTTACACCCCCCTGGCTTTTCAAGCAGACAACAGGTCCTGTTAATTCATGGTTTGGTTAGCTCAATTGCACTGAACTCAAGAGGCAGTAATTACCAAAAGAACCTGCCTTGCATTGAGCTGCATTGTGAAGTCTTGGCAAGGTAAGAAGAGGAGGGCTGCAAAGGCAGTAAACAAGATAACTAATGATAAATGCATAATTAAATGCATGCACAGTTTCATTTGGGGTATATCTACTAAACCATGATTTTATTTATTTTGTATTTGGGCAGTAGAGTGTCTCTTTCAAGGAATACTATGGGCATCAAAATAACTAGCTTAATGAAGCAGTTTTAGTTGATAGATCATGCCCCTGCAGTCTCATTGCTCAATTCTCAGTCATTTAGGAGTTGACTCACTTTTGTTTTGTTCCTAAACTCCTTGCAGATGCCAGTACTGCCCTTAGAACCAAAGATTTAAAGGCACGGAGGAAGAATTAGACAGCTCCTTTAAACCATACACGAATGCCGGACTGAGGGGCTTCTTAGCCCTATATTATAAAGGATCCAGTGGTTCATTGCTCATATATATATATATATATATATATATATATATATATATATATATATATATATATATATATATATATATATATATATATATATATATATATATTTATATTTATATTAACAAACTCCTAAGAGAGGAGAAACTACCTTCTGATAGGACAGTCAAAATGTATGCACATTCCCAAAACCGTCAATAATCCTCGAGACTATTGCCCAACTCACTTTTAAATGGAGACATACACATTTTAACAAAAGTTATGGTTAATAATTTAAATCGATATTTGAACATTTAATACACCCTGACCAGGTCAGTTTTATACCAAACAAACAAGAAGCTGACAATACATGCAGGTGCACAGATCTAATTTGATATGTCACCCATGAAACCATTCCAATGGCAGGAATTTCATTAGATGCAATGAGGACATACAATCGCCTCCTGTGGCCCTTCCTGTTCACAGTGCAATCACATTTAGATTTTCCAGAAGAGTTTCCAAGCTTCCCACAAGCCATTTACCACCTTCTATTACCAAATATTCCTGCTCTCCCCTTCTCCATAACGAATTGGACTAGGCAGTGATGCCATGGTCTCCATTACTATTCACCCTTTCCCTTGAACCCTTGTTACAGATGACATACATAATCCAGCCCTCATCCGGCTCACTATAAGGAAGGAGTAATTCATAGTAGCAGCTTATGCAGATGACATAATTCTCATCCTTACTAATTCTGATACATTGACACCAGCTTTGCTAGACCTAATAAGAGCAATATTCAATCATCTCTGGATACAAAGTAAATTTAACTATACCTGAATTCCTCCCGGTAAGGTTAACTGAAGCATGTTTAAACTGTTTAGGTAAAGCACTGACCGACCTCCAGAGACAGAGAGAATTGGGGATCTTCTGGCTGGACTGTGTTTTTTTGCCTTTTTCAAGATGAACCCACTTCCCGAATTTCTTTTTTTTTTCAGATCCTCCCTATCCCACTCAACTGGTTAGATTTAAAAGCCTTACAATCTGCAGCAGGTGGCTTTATTTGGTCTTTCAGCCACATTTACTAATACAAAGTAAAAATTACTTAGTACTAGTACATTCTGCCCCTACTCGCTATACCACGTGTCTAGTAAACAGTGGGGGAGGGGGGCTTCTAACCTGAAAGGGGGGGACCTATTCCCTCCCCCTGGCCCCCACCCCTGAGTGGTGGATGGGGGCCCTAAATAACTAACTCCCCCGGTGACTAGGGGTAGGTAGGGGTCATTTTATTTTGGGGGGGAGGGGGGGAGGAGGGGGTGACTAGGGGTTTGGGGACCCCTAGTCACCTGGGGGGGTGTTACATTTTTATTTAGGGCCCCCACCCGCTGCTCAGGAGTGGGGGGGGGGGGCAGGACAATAGGTCCCCCCCCATTGATATTTAGGGCCCTCACCCGCCGCTCAGGGGTGGAAGCCATGGGGGAGGACAATAGGTCCCCCTTTTATTGATATTTAGGGCCCCCATCCGCTGCTCAGGGATGGGGGCCGGGGGGAGGACAATAGGTCCCCCCCTATTCTAACTTAGGGCCCCCACCCACCACTCAGGGGTGGGGGCCAGGGGGGGAGGACAATAGGTACCCCCTCATTCTAATTTAGGGCCCCGACCCACCGCTCAGGGACTTCCTGGTTCAGTACAGAACTATCTACTTCCGGTTCAAAGGTCATCAGTGGACTGTCCAGAGAACAGGTGGACTGTGGTTGGTATTAGTTAATACCAAGTGGGAATAAAAGCAGGTTTAAATTTTTTATATTTTTTTTGTTTTGTTTTTAAGTTTGACCCTTTTTACATTTATTTTCTCCTTGCTGTTTTGATTTATTTTAATGTTTTATATAACCTTTTCTTATATATATTTATTTCTTGCTGTGTTTATTTAAACTTTGACTTTTTTTTTTTTCTTCTTGATGGTTTTATTTTAAAAGTTTTTCCCTCCTCTCTTTTTTCCCTCCTCTCTTGCTGTTTATATTCCTCTCCCTGTGGGTGCTGTTGCTGAGCTAATTAGGGGGAGTGCCCCTTAATTTCCCCCTGTGTGGGATTTGTATTACCAATATAAACCCACTACTGACTCACAGAGCTTGCTTGAAAGTAGGCTATTTAAAGTAGTCTCTTAAGTAGGAGTTAAAACAACAGGAGTTAAAACCAAGAGGGTAAATATTGTTTTTGCTCACTTGTGTTTTTTGGTAACTGGGGATGAGTGCTAGCAAGTGTACAAGTTTTACTCAGTGTACATCCTGCTGCATGTATGCATGCCTGGATAAATCTGTCCAGGGTCCATACCTCTGTGGTGGGTGTGAGCGACTGGCTTTTCTGGAAGCTCGGATTGGAGATCTGGAGAGGCAAATTGCAACACGGAGGGAGATTGATAATTTTGAGAGGAGTCTGCTGCTCACTGAGCAGAGTTTAGTAGGTGCAGTTAGTGGAGTGGGAGGAGATGAGACAGTTGGAGAACAGGCACATAGCTGGGTAACAGTGGGGCGAGGAAGCAGAGGGGGAGGAAAGAGGAAAGGTTTAGCTAGTCCTGATCTAGTGCTGCCTAACAGATTTGCCCGTTTATGCAGCCTAACAGATTTGCCCGTTTGAGTGAATATGTTGGGAGCAGGAAGCTGTTCCTTCTAACAGCCTTGGGAACAGCCCCTCTAGTACAGGTGGGGTTGAGAGGGTAAGGAAGTCTAGACAGGTTGTGGTGGTAGGGGACTCTATGGCTAGAAGGTTGGAGGAGATTTTAAACTAGTAGTAGGGGAGAGGGTCAAAGCAATCTAGAAAATGGAGATAGGACAGAAAGGAGATGGGCTTTAGCTCAGAACAAAGGGGGTGGAGATGGGGGAGGGGAAAGCTCAGAATAGAGGAGGTATGTAATACTGATAATTCACAAAAAGTACAATTGACTCATGGTAATATTAAATGTATGCTTACTAATGCAAGGAGCCTATATAACAAAATGGGGGAACTAGAGGCAATAGCATACACTAAACAATATGATATAATAGGCATAACAGAAACATGGTGGGATGAGACACATGACTGGGCAGTTAACTTAAATGGGTACACGTTATTTAGGAAGGATTGGAAAAAACAAGAAGGGTGGTGGGGTATGTTTGTATGTCAGCCATGAGTTAGTCAAATCATGTGGAGTGTGACGAGGAAAATGTGGACACTTTATGGGTAGATATCTGATTGGGGCAAACAAAGGGAAATAAATTATTGGTTGGGATATGTTAAAAACCACCAAATGTAAATGTTAATGAGGAAGAACTGCTGTTAGAGTCAATTGGGAAAGCTGCAAATCGGGGTAACATGTTAATTATTGGAGAATTTAATTACCCGGACATAAATTACACATACACATTTATGTCACAACTTGTACAAGCACCAACTAGAAAGGATCTAGTAATAACAAACAATGTTGATGTTGATCTTTTAACCCGTTAACACCGTTACGGCGTTCTATGCCGTCCCGCATTAAGTGGGCTTTAAAGCCGTTGCGGCGGCATAGAACACCGTAATGGCTTTGAGCCCTTGGAGGTCCGCGGTACTCACCTCCGCTGCGATCCTCTTCTGGAGGGCTGCCTGACAGCCCAGACAGCCCTCCCCTGACAAATCAGGCCCCCCTGGGGGCCATGTGATTGCTCTCAAAGAGCAATCACATGGCCCCCTATAGCTGGCTGTGGATCTGCCAGCACGGGGACTGTCTGAAATGTCAGACAGTCCCCCTGCTGGTGGAAAAGTAAAAAAATCATTAAACATGTTATAAAATAAAATAGAAGTGTGTGTGTGTGTGTGTGTGTGTGTGTGTGTATATATATATATATACACATACACACATATAATAGATATATACGTATAATTACAATAATAAATAAAATATTGAAACAAAATTTAATATAATTTATATATTCATATGTAATTTCATTCTAACTGTATTTTGTTATTAATATATATTGGTTACAAAATACACTTAGAATGACATATATATATATATATATATATATATATATTTATTTGTGGTCACGGCATAAGACAAACAGAGAATGGAAATGTCAGTTGTGGTGTGCCGGAACGGACGAGGTAGTAGGCCTGAAATAAAAGAGGGCCTACCGTATGAAATGCTTATAAAAAGGAGGTGGGTGGGACAACTCGCCAGACCTAAAAGGTAATGAGGGAAGGGCTGGTGCTCCTTAAGAAGGGGAACCAAGCCCTTCCCACAACTTCAGGCCACGCCTTGGATTTGTGGTCACGGCATAAAGCCGTAGCATTAGTAACATAAGACAAACAGAGAATGGAAATTTCAGTTGTGGTGTGCCGGAACTGACGAGGTAGTAGGCCTGAAATAAAAGAGGGCAAAAAAGATATAAACCAGTTTATTCATCCTACAAATACATCATAGCATATCACATATTCATAGTCTTGAATGCTAGGCGCACCTCTTGTATTGGCTGAGGGATGTATCTGGTGTAAGCTGTGGATTTCCATCGGCCTAAAATTTTAATGATGTGAGCCGGGATATTCTTTTTAGAAGCTGTAGTGGCGGCTCCTATTCTAAATGAGTGACCAGAGTAGTTTGCTGGGTTCAATCCTAAACGGACCAACAACATTCTAACATACACCATGAATTTAGTAGTGAGCTTATTACTGTGTAAGGTCAGGAGTGGTTGTGTTGGAGCTATTGTACAGAAGGAAAGATATTTGTCGAAAACTTCCACCGGACACCATTTATTACTAGTGGAGTAATAGTGACCGTCTGTCCTTTGGCGCTAGTTTTGGTATGGTGTAGGGATAGCAGATAGTGATCTTGTACCTTCACCAGGTTTGACCTTGTGATGAATTTGGGGGAGTTATAGTTAGTAGTGGTGAACTCTTTGGGCCGAAGAAAACCGTTTTGATATGGATATGGAATTCTCTGCTTGAAGAGGTGGTTTTGTCAGGGTCATTACAGATGTTTAAACTGCAATTGGATAAATACTTACAAAAACATAACATAAAGGGATATAATTTCTAATTAGTGAGGTAATAGCTGCTTGATCCAAGGAGACATCTGACTGCTATTTTGGGGTCAAGAAGGAATTTTTTCCTAGTTTGTTGCAAAATTGGAAGCACTTCAGACTGGGTTTTTTGCCTTCATTTGGATCAACAGCAAAAACATATGTGAAGAAGGCCGAACTTGATGGACGCAAGTCTCTTTTCAGCTATGTAACTATGTAATACTGTCCTCATGCTATTGTGAATTGATAACAGAACATTACAGCCCATTTTTCTTCTTTTGTGTTGTTGGTGCTAAAGATATATTAGTACGTAAGTGCATGCGGTTTAGACACGTCTGGGTGCTGAAGTAGTCGTAGTCTGTATGCCATGGTTATTGGTTATTGTATTCGTTCCTGGCACCCAGGTGTACTTTGTTTAAAGGAACATTGGAAGATAAAAACAGGGTTTACAGAGGCATCATGCCATTTAATACCATGACTAAGGTAAACGGTTGGGACAAGGGTTTTTGCATTGGATAAGGATTTGTTTATAAGCTTGTGTGGGGTGGAAAGGTCTATATGGTCTTAGACATGGGTAAGTAGCTGTGCGCCATCTGTTTAGGAGTGGGTGGGCTCCCCGGTAGCTGAAGAGCCTGGGTTGCCGGTGAATTTAGCTTGGAGGAATGTTTATCGTCTATAGCGTTGATACTATTTGGGGAAGGGGTGATTGGCTGTTCATAGGGGGTTAAAATCATGCCATCAAAGTAATAAGGAGAGAGTGGTATGATGTCTTGTTAACCCATACAGATTATTAATTTGTTTGGCGCTTATTAACCTCTGAGCTCCAAAAGAGGGGAGAGAGGGGGCCCCAGTTGTGGTTGTGGGGAATGGAGTGCTGTCTCGCTATAAAGATGAGATAACTAATAAAATTAACACTTAACAGTAACTCGATAGGAAAAGAAAAAAAAAATACTGTGAACATGTGCCAGAAGGTGTCTTAGAGTACAGTGACCCAACATCCAGATGGATTGATCCTGCTCAGAAGTGTCCCTGTGGCTTCAGCCTGTGTCAGCAGCAGAGCGGGGCACAAATGGGACATCCCAGGAGGAGTTAGGAGTGGGGTTGTTGGGGTCTGGTTTATTCAGTCCCAGTTTGCTGAGGAAGGAGCTGGAGTCTTCTGTCAACGTCAGTTGGAAGGTGGTCGCTCCCTTGGTGACTGGGAGCATAGATGGCCCCATCGGTATTTGACTCCAACTGCTCTGAGGGTGGTGGTGACATGCTGGACTGACCATTTCCGGGTCAGAGTAGCTCTGCAAAGGTCTTGTGAGCTGCATGTCCTAAATTTGGTAGGGGCTCCTGTTGTTGAGCGCTGCCATAACCACCATTTTATCTCAAATAGATTGAAAGAGGAGGATAACATCTAGGGAGGCCTCTGCTGGAGCTCTTGGAGTTTTGGGGAGTCTCTGGATACCTTCCACATGCGCAATCCTCGCTTGCTTGGGGTTGAGTATTGTGGTTAAGAGGCGTTGAATGAATTTAGGCAGTTCATTGTCGTCGATAGATTCGGCAATGCCTCTGATTTTTAGGTTGGTACGGCATCTTGCGTTATCTAGGCCATCCAGCCAGGCTTGTAGTGCTTGGTGCGAGGACTGGAGGTGTACTAGCTTCTCCTCTGTTGCTTGATGGTGTTGTGCCATGGAGGTGATGTCCTCTTCAGCGGCCCTCACCCTGCCTGTAACAGCGGTCACCTCTTCTTGCAGAACCGCTATGACTGAGCGTAACAGGGTGTGCAGATTCTGCAGTATGTTCAGGATATCTCCTTTGGTGGCAGGAGCTCTCAGGTCTCCAAGTGATAGGTTCGGAATAGGGTTGGCAGCCTCTGGTATGGGGTCTGGAGCATCCAGTGTTTCCTCCTCTGAGGATGAGCTTTGGTGATCTGGGGTTGCCGCCAATTTAGGTTTTGGCCTTCACAGGAAAAGATCGCCGATTTTCTGGGATCCGTCCTCTTGGTACTTTTTATTTTGTTTCCCCATGTTGTTACAGGGTGTAAGAGCCAGAAAGAAGTCAGATTATCGCCGTGTGGATCTATCAATCTGCATTTATCGCCGCTGTAACCCGGGAGCCCACTATGTTTTTTTTTTTATCCTCCTTACCTTTTTTTTTCTGTAAGTCACCACGACCTGTTGACTCCCATCCACACAAAGAAACACCTGAAGCCATTCAAAATATATATAGCAAGAAAAGTGACTTCTCTAAATGTTTCTTTCCCTTTAAGTAGCTCTCCTATTGACATGCAAGTCATACTTAAAATCCAGATTCTCTAATAACTATTCATTTTTATGCCCAATGAGTAAATTAAAGTTAGTTAAAGCTTCATTTTACGTAAAATCGTATCCAAAACGTTCAAGATCTGTGTTACCGTTACCTTTTGAATTGTGCATGTTGACACAGAAGGACAAAATTCTATGAAAATGGCCAAAGTACGACCAGACTGTCAATTTTGATATCAACTAAAGCCAGTTCTGGTTGGGATATGCACAACGTGTGTCAACTTTAAAATTAGTACTTTTCGCATTCCAAATCCTATATAAACCTTAGGATACATACATTTATAAAACACTGATTTTAAAGAACAATAGGGATGGAATGTATCCAATATACACAGTCATAAAATATTGTTCACTTGCTTTTTACAAACTATGAATTTTTCTACTATATGCCTGCTGCTTAAAGTGTCCCTTTAAGATAAATTATCCCACCACAACATATATGATATATTCCTGCTCAATATACATATTTTGTTCTCTCTCACCACTTACTATGAAGGATTTTTTCTGCAAATTAAAGTAAACTAGTGGCACCAAGGAAAAAGGGTAAAACATGGCAGATGCATTTTGCACTGAGGATGAGAAGGCCATGCACAGCAAGAGCCACGCTACTCCAGTCATGTAATCTATATGAGTAGCATCAAAGGAGGGTATATGCAAGAACCAAGTCTGACTTGGTTCTCACGGTCAAAGCACCTCTAGTGACTGTTAGGAAGACAAGCCATTAGAAGTGAAATCTTTATCTTTAAAATGGCAATGTTGTACATTGCAGGACTAAAAACTTAGGTGCACGACACCCAGATCACTACATTGAGATAGGTCTCGCTGTATATCAAGTCCCTTTAACATCATAATTGCTTACCCGCTGTCTCTCCAAGACCATAGACTGGGGTAAAGAGTCATAGTTGCCTTCTTGGTAGGCAAAGGTCTCCAAATCATTCAGTTGGGTTTTCAGCTGTACTATTAATTCTCGCTGTTTTTGCCTCTGCGCCTCTATACGTTCTCGCTTCTCCCATTCACTCTAAAACAATAAAGGAAGGTAGTTAAACAATTGCAGAACGAATAATGAGTGGTGGGGTTTCTGTTTACATCTTTACATACAGGAAATAATTTAGTTACAAAGGCATATGGAACTGTTGATTGGACTTTGGGGCAGCAATGGATCTAGGAGGGGAGGGACACCATTGCAAGTGTCCATCAAAACTTCAGACGGTTATTCACGTAAAGTTACCAGAAGTGGGTACTTGATTTCTAACTCTGCAAGTGCAGGCTTTATTTATTACATAGTGTGTGCACAGTCACACTAAGCATTGTGCAACCAAGCAGCATGGGAGCTTCCACAATGTCAGTTCTTATTTTCTGCCTGGGCTGCAATAGAAAGCATAGAATGTATGTTTTATCATTGCTCCCTCCACATAGAAGGTGACGCCAAATAGAATATTATTTTTAATATCGCCAATTATATAGCGCCAACAGATTCCTTAGCGCTTTACAATATTATGAGAGGGGGGATTTAAAGGACCACTATAGTGCCAGGAAAACACTCGTTTTCCTGGCACTATAGTGCCCTGAGGGTGCCCCCACCCTCAGGGTCCCCCTCCTGCCCGGCACTGGAAGGGGGAAAGGGGTAAAAACTTACCTTTTTCCAGCGCTGGGCGGGGAGCTCTCCTCCTCCGATCCTCCTCTTCTCCTCCCCGTCGGCTGAATGCGCGCGCATTCAGCCGGTCACATAGGAAAGCATTTATAATGCTTTCCTATGGACGCTGGCGTGCTCTACTGGGAAAATCACAGTGAGAAGCACGCAAGCGCCTCTAGTGGCTGTCAATGAGACAGCTGCTAGAGGAAATTGGGGAAGGCTTAACCCATTGATAAACATATCATAACCCATTTTTTTTATGAAAAAATGGGTTAACCCTAGAAGGACCAGGCACCCAGACCACTTCATTAAGCTGAAGTGGTCTGGGTGCCTAGAGTGGTCATTTAACTATAAATAGGACAATTACAAGAAAACTTACAGGAACGATAGGTTTAAGAGGACCCTGCTCAAACAAGCTTACAGTCTATAGGAGGTGAGGTATAAGACACGGTCCACCAACAGTTCAGGATTTATGTATATCCCTGTGTTATTCCAATGGAGATACTAACAAAACCTGGACTGTTGGTGGGTCTTTAGGAATGGTTTGGGAAATGCTGCATTAGAGCATTCTTCTAGGGTTATCAGCCCCATGCCACTTGGCCAAACTAGCACAAGAATAGGTAGGGAGTGCATCTCTGTGCTATTGGGGAAAAATGACAGACAAGGAAGACATCTGGAGAAAGGGACAGATGATGTGGGGGGAGAGAATATGGAAAGAGTTAAATGTGTGAGGAGAGACTATGAGAAAAAAAAAAATAATAGAAGGTGGGAGGAGACTATGGATACATTTGAGGTGTGGGGCAGAATATAAGGAGATGGGCAGAATGTAGTGGTAAAATATGAACAGAAGGACAGAAAGTAAGGTAGAGCATTTGAAGATCAGGACGCTAAAGGATAATAGTAAGAGGGACACCACTCGAAGAAAAGACAAGATGATGTAACATGAGAGTTCTATTGATGTGGAACTTTGGTAAGTTTATATACAGTGAATTAAACTTCACACCAATAAAAATGCACACAAGGTATTCACTAAACTCTGATTTGCAGCAAATTGAAAATAGAATTGCAAATTTAACGTTTACCTTACATTTGCATTTCACATTTCAGTTTTTTTTCACTTCGGAGTAACTGACCAGAATGTGCATTATAGAATAATCTATTACCGTATATATCAAATAAAGAAAATAAACCAGAAGTCTGCCTTACAGATAAATTACATGGGTGTTCCTCAATTATTATATAGAACAATATGACAAAATATATACACTCTGAAGACTTCCAATCAACATGTATTTATGAAATTAAATTATGGTTACATACTGTGAAATAAATGTTTCGGTCCCAACTTGGCCACATCTTGAAAAAGGACCCGGTGGGGCTGTAAACATCAATTTCACAGTATGTTATCAGTATTTAATTTCATAGATACACATTGGTTGGAAGTCCTGAGAGTGTGCCTATTTTGTCATATGAGAAATTTATATTATACATATCTATATATACACACACACACACATACAGTTGCGAGAAAAAGTATGTGAACCTGATGTGGTAATCAATCAATAAATAGATTATCTTGCGTATCTGCCCCTTTTCAAATTGGTTATGGTGCATGCATGCTTTCCAAAGTAAATCACACCAGACACGTTTCCCGGTTGATGAAATACTCTGGAATGTTTATTCAGGGGGGACAACATGTCCCTTATAAAGCAAAATTACATCATAAGCATTGTCAGAGATAACCTGAAATAATACATCAATAATTGGTTAAGTGTTAAGTGAATGTTTACATGGTGTGTTCAATAAGAACATGGCAACATTTCATTCTTTGTGTGTTATTAGTTTAAGCAGACTGTGATTGTCTATTGTTGTGACTTAGATGATGATCAGATCACATTTTATGACCAATATTTGCAGAAATCCATATCATTCCAAAGGGTTCACATACTTTTTCTTGCAACTGTAGATATATATATATATATAAAAACAGATCAAATTTGTATCTTGTAATACCTTTTTTATTGGACTAACATAATTTTTTAATGACAAGCTTTCAGGAGAACCTCCCTTTCTCAATTTTGAAGCATTTCTTAGCAGGACAACACAGAATTCAAAGCTGAGTTGTGATACAGGGGTTAAAGTGACATGAGTGTAGATAAGACACAGGTTTGTTAGAAAATATACACCATTTTTGCAGAGAGTCATACATATCTTTCTGAAGAGCAGAGTGAGGGGGGAAAGAGGGAGACAATCCACATCTCGGTTTACAGAAAACCCACAGACAGGTGCAGTTACCTACACAGCTCCAGCTTCCACCCCTCCCATACTAAACAGGGCATCATCTACAGCCAAGCCACTAGGTACTAGTTTGAGGCGCTTTCCAATTTTGCGACAAACTAGGATAAAATTCTTTCTTGAACCAAGGATAGTAGACAGATCTCTCCTTGGATCAAGACGCTATTACCCCACAAATTAAAACTTATATCCCTGTATATTATGTTTTTGCAAGTATTCATCCAGTTACTGTTTAACCCCTTAAGGACTGAGCCAAATGTACACGTTGTGATCAAAACAAAATGTAAACAAAAACTTGAATTTGCGCTATATGTCTGTTCAGGCGTAAGTCACCTCTTTCGTATTATGTGCACCCACACTTATTATAAATCATTTTATTAAGGGGAAACAGGTCTTTCATTTAACATCAATATTTAGGTATGAAACATAATTTGTGACTACGTGACATTTTAACTGTGAATGTCATAATACTGTTTGCTTTTACTGCAATAAAATACACATATTTGTATTCAGCGATGTCTCATGTGTAAAACAGTATCCCCTATGTACAGGTTTTATGGTGTTTTGGGAAGTGACAGGGTCAAATATAGCATGTTACATTTTCAGTTTTTTCACATTGAAATTTGCCAGATTGGTTACGTTGCCTTTGAGACAGTATGGAATTAGCACCATGATGGCATACCAATTGCCAAAGTAGACAACCCAAGGTATTGCAAATGGGGTATGTCCATTCTTTTTTAGTAGCCACTAAGTATATAGGACGGCGGGGACGTGCTATGACGCCCCCTGGCGTTTAGAGCCAGGTCCCTAAGGACGGCATTGCACGTCCCCCGTCCTTAAGGGGTTAAACATGGATTCCTTTGAGTCTGTATTTGCGGTTTACAAAAATTTTGAAAAAACACAACCTAGGAAAAGATGCAAACCACACATGGACAGCTGTTTCATTGTTAATGCAAATCATCAGAATGAGGTTGGTTACTGGTTTGCTATTGAGGCTTGGTAGTGCTTGGGAAGCAAAAACCAAAAAGGTTATGGTGGGGAAAAATTTTTTGATTGAAAACCCCTCCCACCTGAAGTCTGTGGATAGTTAATACAATGTTAAACAAAAATCTGCACACCAGTCAAGCCATAAGACTTGCTTTTCCCACAGACTTTTGGTGTAAAGGGTTTTCAATCACAATATTTTCCCCACCATAACCGTTTTGGTTTTAGATAGATAGAAATATAAAGTGTGGTAGTCTGCACTCACGGTCTTGGGTAAAATGTAGCGTTTATTTCCTCATAGTTTAAAATGTGCACATAGTAAAGTGCATTTAGTGATGCAAAAAGTCGACCTTTTAGTCCCAGTGTGGGACTTTCTTTAGGACAGCATGCTCCCCAGAGTCAAAGCTGGTCAAGCGTAGGAAAAATACATACAAAAATACATAAGACAAAATAGTTTCTAATTTGTCTTAAGTTTTAAAGAAAACTAGAACAGACAGTAAGAAATGAAGAACAGATCCTGAGAGAGGGAGAGAAGAGGAAGTGATTGGGGAAAGGTATGTGCCGCTTTTATTCCCCAGGTACCATCTTTAAATGATTTTCAGATAGTTTAACACCAAAGTTGTGTCGCCAAAAGCCTGTAACACCATTTCCTTTGTCTTTTGACACTCTCGGCCTATCACTGGCCACTAAGCATCGCGGTTGAGGGAGATACAGCAGAGGCAACAGGAACCCAGGGCTAACTATGGTATTAAACTGTTTGAAAGTAGCTTAAAGGTAAGATGGTGCCTGGGGACTCTACGCCCTATACAGCTGAAATGTGACAACCAAACAGTATTGCAACAAGTTATCTTGTAGGGTGCTGCGGCTACTGCCTCTATGGGCCTTTACTGCATGTGCAGAATGAAAATGTTCAGTCACTAAGGTGTTAGAGTAATTTTCTAAAAAGTTTAATACAAATTACAATTAAATAAATAAGTTTGAGACTTACCATTTCCTGTACATGTGGAGCATTAAAGAGAGAAAGGAAGAAATAAAAACACACTTAAATTATGTGAATTACATACGGAGAATAGAATTTAACGTTTGACAATGCTACTAAAACAGGATTTGCAAGTTGAGCACAAGTGCTAAAGATTTCATTTATGTTTGCAGTGTCAGTGGGTTTAGTGGTTACGGTGCTCAGAGTGCCCTTTTACCAAAAAGAAATGCTAAAAATCAATATGAACAAGTAAAAAATGTACCCCCAGTGGGGATACTAAGATCCCAAACGCCCCAGATATGCAAAATTCAATGAAAGTCATTTACCCCATTAACGACTGCTAACCATGAATTGACCTAGCATGAGGTAGTGAGCAATACTATGAGGATGCGGTGAAGAAACTACCCGGGCTACTTTGGTACTTTTGTTTTTCCCTATTCGGTAGATACAACTACCGAACACCGACCACCCCCTGGCTCATTCACTTCAAAGAAAACCACCAATTAAGTGCTCGCTCTGTCGCCGTTTGCATAGTCGAACGCCACATGCAAAAGAAAACAGCGGCCATCTTGTTCGCACGAAAGGAGGCAGCTGTACTTGGTCTTCGAGTGTCTGGAGCCAAAATCGGACTCAAAACACGAATGCCTGCTTCCTTTCACCGACCAGCCAGGAGAGCGCTATTCGGTAGAATTGTTCCCACAAACTAGGGGAAGATACGCTACCTATGAGCCAGGGGAACCGTTCGTGCATTTATTAGTTTTTTGTACTTTGCGAAATAGACTGACCGCACAGCCCAATCTCATAGAACTATTTCTGGGCAGGAGCATCGTATGAGGTCGGCCAAATTAAGATCTCCATGTAACTCTTGAACCCCTGCACCGATCTGGGTGATTTTGGAATATGTTGGTCCCCCAGATCAGGGGATATGACTTTTATGGGGTTCCCATAGAGTTTGGGGTACTTTCTGAGTTTTAAGGAAATGTATGTTTTTGTGTTGGGAGATAATGGAGTTCAGTAAATTGCTTGACTCAATTATCTCCCCAGTACAGGGGACGGATTATGTGATGGTCAGTGGGGGTGTCCTGGACCTGAGAGCCAATGTACTAGCAGAATGTATTTTGTCACTGTCCCTTCTCAGGTCCAGTGGGGAATGCCCCTGAAATAGGTCAACTGCATATAAACCAGGCTGTTAGCCTGAATAAAGAATTCTTGTTAGACCCTTCATCTAGGTTAGGCTGATGTTTGGGTACCTGTCTACTTTGCTGGGAGAATATACTTGAATGCTGTACTTCGTCTGAAGAAACGTTCGAATCAACATCCGAACTGCAAGCTATAATCACTCAGGCTCTAGCAGTTCAGGAGAAAATAGGCGAACAGGTACCTGCAATACCAGCGTTCGTTACGGATGCCAATTGCATCGGACAGCCTTGAAAAGCTGGCACAAAAACCTGATGCCTCAGCACATGCTGCGGTACAGGAGTCATTCTCTGTATCATGATTCTATGAAGATTCATCAAAGTTTGATGCTGATCAATAGGTGGACACTGTAACTACAAAAATGTGGCTAAGGATGTCCATAGGCATAATACTGGGGGGTGAAAGAATAAACAGCAACATATTATAGGCACTCCTCACTTATAGACCAAGATCCGTTCCTACAACTTGGTCGTAAAACAAATTGGTCGTTAAGCGAGGATGACACATCAGTATGACAACCAAGTCTCGCATGCGCTAGAGATCAGGTCAGGAGAATTCCCCCGAACATAGACCAGCTCACTAGCACAGGGAATCTCCCAAATCTATGACAAGTACTACTCGGCTAGAAAGCAAAAATTCTCCGAACATAGACCAGCTCACTAGAGCAGGGAATCCTTTGAATTTATGTTTGGGGGGGGAAATTACCTGTGGATGCACATATCCTTTGGGGCTAGGTCTTGGCAAACTTAGAATCTAAAAGCTAGCTGAGCATCATGGGAAATGTAGTCCAGAAACAATATATGGTGTCAAGGTTAGCCATCACTGCTGTCCAGGCCTTACCAACACAAAAACGAAATTTAATTCACAATGCCTGTTGATCTCAGCAATTATATGCTCAACATTTCTGTCTTCCAGAGCATCTTTAATATGTGGGGTTCCCTCCACATTGACTTATTTGCTTGAACACTCGTCTTTCCTTATTTTTCCCCTGGTGACCGCAGTGGACGCCTTTCTGCAGGATTGGAGTGGCAATTGCCAGTACGCACTTCCACCATTTTATAGGATCCCTGTATACTCTTCCAGGTCTATCATCAACGGGTATCTGTCTTTTTATTGCACAGTTTTGAACAATGCAGTATTGGCTTCTGCAGCAACTGGAAGTGAAGGTCGACATTAGTCAACTCTTGCATTCAGAGACACACTTATTCCGCGACCCAGACAACACTTCTCATCTTCAGCTGCAGGATGGCCGTGTTTCCCTTCTGGCTTAGCTGATCTCAGGCATATTCCTGGCATTTCCAGAGACTACTCGACAGCTACTGGTCAGAGCATGGGCGCCCGGAACTCAGATCTTACTATTCCGTCTTACACACTTCTATCTGGTGCGTAGCATGGAGCTTGGATCCCGTTCAGGACCCTGTGACAGATAATTTGCAATTTTTGTCTTCACTTCATGAGGCTGACCAGTCATACAGGACTAATAACGGGAAACTATAGTCACCAAAACAACATAAGGTTAAGTAGTTTTGGTGTATAGATCAGGCCCATGCAGTCTCAATGCTCAATTATCTGCCATTTTGTTTATGCAGTTCTAGTCACATCTCCCTGCATGTGACTTACACAGTTTTCCTACACACTTCATGTAAAGAGTCATCTAATGTTTACACATTCTTTTTTTGCAAATTCTATTTAATCTAGAATTTCTTATCTCCGGCTCTGTTAATAGGTTGCTAGACCCTGCAGGATTGTCCTGTTTGTGATTTATGTTCAATTTAGAGACCAGGAGATACAAAGTTTTAAAGTAAGTTACATCTGATTAAAAACTAAACCATTTTGTTTTCATGCAGCCTGTGCCAGTCACAGCCAGGGTAGGTGTGGCTAGGGCTGCACAAACAGAAATAAGGATTTAACACCTAAACGGCAGTGAATTTTCAGAGGCATGATCTATATACAAAAACAGCTTCATTAAGTTGCCTTGGCGACTATAGTGTAAGTTTAAAGAAATTTACTTTAAACCTATTGGTCTTGTTGTCACCCTGCACATTAAGAGCCTCCATGCTTTGAAATAAAATTTCATGATTTTGCTATTCCATGATGAAAAGTCATGATTTAATGAAAGACACAGAAGCGATCTTAGGGGTTCCTTTCCTTAGCACCTATTTAACAAGCTCCCAGGAGTTACTTTGGTTGTTAATTGTATGTACTGTTCTGTGTTTGTTCTGCTTGCCTCTCTCTTTTGCCTATGTTTGTTTCTACTGTTCAATGTCATGTTTCTCCTTGTGGGGTCTATACAAAAATATTTAATATTACGTGAGTACTACTTATAAATGTTTCATGAAGATTTTTCATTAGGCTGTTTCTGTTTTAGCTAACCTTAGCTTGCAGGGCGGACGCAAGACTATTTGTGCACCCTTGGCAAAACAAGCTACTTGCTCTGTGTCTCTTTGTACCCCCAAAACCTCTGTGTGTCTATTTGTCCCTCTCAGCCCCTCCTCTGTGTCTCTTTGTCCCTCTCAGCCCCTCCTCTGTGTCTCTTTGTCCCTCTCAGCCCCTCCTCTGTGTCTCTTTGTCCCTCTCAGCCCCGCTGTGTGTCTCTTTGTCCCTCTCAGCCCCGCTGTGTGTCTCTTTGTCCCTCTCAGCCCCGCTGTGTGTCTCTTTGTCCCTCTCAGCCCCGCTGTGTGTCTCTTTGTCCATCTCAGCCCCGCTGTGTGTCTCTTTGTCCCTCTTTGTCCCTCTCAGCCCCGCTGTGTGTCTCTTTGTCCCTCTTTGTCCCTCTCAGCCCCGCTGTGTGTCTCTTTGTCCCTCTTTGTCCCTCTCAGCCCCGCTGTGTATCTGTGTCCCCCTTAGCCCTCTTTGTCACCCCCCTTCCCTTTATGATCTCTCCCCACCACCAGTCTATTTGTGGTTTCTCCTCCCCCCCAGCTCACCTTCCTCCTTGTAGCATGGCCGAGCGGATCGAAGTAGAGGAGCTGCTGTAACCTCTACTCGGTCTGAAAGGAAGCTGTTTAAAGCTTGCAGTGAGCATTTCCTGTCAGACAGGGTAGGGGATGCAGAAGCTCCTCTACTGCGGTCCGTTCGGCCACACTACCTGCAGTAAACAGCAGGAGTGTGCACTCCCCTCTATCCAGTCACCCGGAGACTGCTCTCCCAGGACCGGTGCAACTGCCTAGCTTGTCTAGCGGTCGCGCCGGCTCTAATAGCTTGAACACAACTGCTTCCTGTCACCTGCACTGAAGGAAGTCTTGTGCAACTGCAAAAGCCATGTTTTCTCTCTTTCCTGCTTAAAAGTCGGATTCCCTATTGGGTTTTGTATGGGTGCACCATTTCTACCATCTTTTTCCTATCTTGGAGTTTTGTTGCAGACATTTAACTGTTGCTGTTTTCTGCATAGAAAGTGGATGATGTTTAGGGGTTTTAACTGTGTCATGTATAGGGGGTGTTTCATGAGCTCATCCTCACTTTCTTTCCCTCTGTATCTGTTTTTCTTTGCTGTTGCCTGGGCAGCACAGAAAAGGGTTACTTCACAGTGCTTACCTCCACAACTTTCATAAAATAAGGACTTTTTCCACACACAAAAAAAGAAGCAAACTAGTGCAATTGTATCTGCACAGAGGGGTATTATCTGATAATCTCTGCCTACACTGTATATTTGTCAAGTTGCATAACTCCTTCAAGTACCAATAGCATGTCTGTTATTAGTCCAGCCCAATCAAAGTCCAAGTTGTAGCAACCCCAAAGCCTTGCAGAATGCATCCTTTACATTACAAGATCCCCCCAAAAAATGTTAGGAGCGGTTTGACACACTGCATCTCTACACCTGTAATATGTTACTCAGCAACTGGAACATCTGTCACTTGGCATTACAAGGGAAATCTGTCAAGGCAAAACAGATGCTAAGAGCTAAATTGCTGACAGTCTAGGTTTCCATGGAGACTGGTCCTTCAGAGCACTGTGCTCCAAAACATCCAGTTTTTGCTTCAATAAATCTTCCCCCTCAGCTCGGTTTATCGGCTGCATCTCACGGACTACACATGTAGAACAGAATTACAAAGCATGTTCTAACCTTATTGCATACACATTTAAAAAAAAAAAATAATAATTTAGAAAATTTACATTGAATCCAATCAACACTCTCATACTAACCGAATCTTCTAGAACTTGCTGTTTGAGAGCTTCATTTCCCAGAACATGTGGGGATCCCTTGAACGCGAAGTCCTCGAGCTCAGCCAGCAGCTTCTCCTTCTCTGCTCCTTCCGCCCTCACTATCTGCTTCAGCCTGAACTGCACCTGGGCGAAATGGGAGGTGAGGGCGAGAAGGGACGAGTTCAACAGCTCTTGCTCATCCTCGAGTTTTCGCAACTTATCAATCATCTCCGCTGACACCGAGCCTGAGCGGCTCCTGCTCGAAGCACCGAATCCTGCGATGTTTGCAGCCTTCACGATTGATGCTGATTTGGAACTCTGCTCGTCTGCTTCTTCAGCTACCGCTCCCACCGGGGCCCATCGTTCCCCGGCCATGGGCTCGCCTTCGGACGTGGACATTTCGTCGGCTGACATGTCGTATTACCTTCTAGGTAGATCTCAACCGCACCGCCATATTAGTTAGGGGGAAGGGAAAAAATGTCCTGCTGACGTCGCTCAAAAAGCAGGAAAGCGAACATGGACATACGTTGTCATGACGACTTAGGTAGAGACACTTCCTGGTTTGGCAGTAGAAGGATTGTTGAGTGTTCTGTCAGGTAGACTGTGTTCTATCGAAATCCTCTACCTCGTCACCTCCGGCTAGGGGAATCAGCTGGAGCCTGTGCTAGCACTCCTGCTGGGGTAGGGAAATCTAATAGAGGATTTCCTGGGAACTTCTGCACAACAATGTCCTGGAAGGTAACTAAAGCTAGTTTTACACTTTCAATATAGTTAGTGCATTTACTAAGCTCAGGACACGCAACATTAGTGTTAATGTTAGGGTTCAAATGATTCCACTCACAATCCCCTGTGTGTCACCCCCATTAACACTTCATCTCCCTTATTTTACACCACATTAGCCTACACTGTGTATGTTACTATATAGTGAAAGCCGTGTTCCAGAAATCTGATTGATGTGCCGCGCGCATTCGCAGTACACCCATCAGATTTTTATATCTGTAGGATGTGCCGTGCACATGCGCAGTACAACCATCAGATTAGTCTCACAGCTGATCGCATGGCGCCTTCGGCAGAATTCTATACCCTGTAGCCTGCTAGCATGCATGTGCTCAGCTAATTTTGCATCACTTTCAGTGACGCGGGTGCACTGGAAGTGATGTTGATCAAAATTCACTGCCCCTTGAATGTCTTACCCCCTTTTACCCCTTTTGTGTATCTTATCTGCCCTTTTGTGTGTCTTACACCCACTTATGTGCCTTTTACAATGCCCCTTGTGTGTCTTCTACAATTCCTATTGTGTATCTCTAACTTCTCCACCCCCTTTTTGTGTCTCTTACTTCCCCCAGACTCAATTTGTGTCTCTTATTTTCCCCACCTTGGTGTGTCCCTTTCTCCCCCCTTAGCCCCTTTTGGTGTCTTTTTCCTCCCCAGCCATACAGACATAGATATACAGGCAAAAACACATACATGCACAAAGACACAGACATGCAACCATACAGGCACACAGATCTAGTTATTCAGGCACACTGTTGCAAAGATATTCAGGCACACAGTCATAAAAGGCACACAATTAAGTCAACACTGTAAGGCAGGCACATAATCATACAATCTACACATACCGAAACACTGTCCTAGAGACACAGACATTCGGTCATACAGAGACACACACACGGACACTGTCATACAAAGACACAAATACACTGTCATACAGAGATACAGTAACATACAGACATAGGGTTAAAGACACTGTCCTACACAGACATACAGTCATAGTGACATACAGACACAATCATGCATACAGACACAGTGATACAGACACTGTCCTACACAAACATAGTCATACAGTCATATACAGATACAGACACACAGACACTGTCATACACAGACAAACAGAGACACTGTCATACAGAGACATACAGACTCAGGCATAGCGACACAGACATAAAGACACTCTCATACATAGTCATAAAGAGACATACAGGCACAGAGATTCAGATACAAGCATACAGAGACAAACAGCCACAGACATTCAGATACAGTCATACAGACACTGACATACTGTCACAGATAGATAGGATCTAACAAGCAAAGACATGCACAGCAAATACTAAAAAACAAAAAGCGTAATACCAAAACGTAGAATGGCCGGATTAAACGCCACTAGAATAGTACTAGACAAGCCGAGGTCAGGGATACAGAAGACAGAATAAACGTTTGGAATAGCCAAAGGTCAAGGACAATGGAGAGGAGAATAGTCAAAGATAAGCCATGGTCAAAATGCCCAAAAATACAAGAAATATGAACGCCAGCATGATTCCCAGGCGTGTCGCGTGGAGAGCGGACCCAGCAAGATGTATTTTTATTTTTAGCGTGTCTGCGCTGATCAGGCCTTCATGATGACCGGGCACGTGGACTCCTATGATCGGCGGCATGACACATGCACAGGCATACAGACACAGTCATACACAGATATTCAGACTCAGGTATACAGCCATATGTGCAGTCACAATTAACAAATAAAAAATAAATATAAATATACAGATACATTTACAGTTGCAAGAAAAAGTATGTGAACCCTTTGGAATGATATGGATTTCTGCACAAATTGGTCATAAAATTTGATCTGATCATCATCTAAGTCACAACAATAGACAATCACAGTCTGCTTAAACTAATAACACACAAAGAATGAAATGTTGCCATGTTTTTATTGAACACACGATGTAAACATTCACAGTGCAGGTGGAAAAAGTATGTGAACCCTTGGATTTAATAACTGGTTAAACCTCCTTTGGCAGCAATAACATCAACCAAACGTTTCCTGTAGTTGCAGATCAGACATGCACAACGGTCAGGAGTAATTCTTGACCATTCCTCTTTAAAGAACTGTTTCAATTCAGCAATATTCTTGGGATGTCTGGTGTGAATCGCTTTCTTGATAAACCATGATGCCCCCACCACCATACTTCACAGTTGGGATGAGGTTTTGATGTTGGTGTGTTGTACCTTTTTTTCGCCACACATAGTGTTGTGTGTTTCTTCCAAACAACTCAACTTTGGTTTCATCTGTCCACAGAATATTTTGCCAGTACTGCTGTGGAACATTCAGGTGCTCTTGTGCAAACTGTAAACGTGCAGCAATGTTTTGTTTGCACAGCAGTGGCTTCCTCTGTGGTATCCTCCCATGAAATCCATTCTTGTTTAGTGTTTTACGTATTGTAGATTCGCTAACAGGGATGTTAGCATTTGCCAGTGACTTTGTAAGTCTTTAGCTGACACTCTAGGATTCTTCTTCACCTCACTGAGCAGTCTGCGCTGTGCTCTTGCAGTCATCTTTACAGGACGGCCACTCCTAGGGAGAGTAGCAACAGTGCTGAACTTTCTCCATTTATAGACAATTTGTCTTACCGCGGACTGATGAACAGCAAGGCTTTTGGAGATACTTTTATAACCCTTTCCAGCTTTATGCAAGTCAACAATTCTTAATCGTAGGTCTTCTGAGAGCTCTTTTGTGTGAGGCATCTTTCACATCAGGCAATGCTTCTTGTGAAAAGCAAACCCATAACTGGTGTGTGTTTTTTATAGGGCAGGGCAGCTGTAACCAACACCTCCAATCTCATCTCATTGATTGGACTCCAGTTGGCTGACATCTCACTCCAATTAGCTCTTTGAGATGTGATTAGTCTAGGGGGTTCACATACTTTTTCCACCTGCACTGTGAATGTTTACATGGTGTGTTCAATAAAAACATAGCAACATTTCATTCTTTGTGTATTATTCGTTTAAGCAGACTGTGATTGTCTATTGTTGTGACTTAGATGATCAGATCACATTTTATGACCAATTTGTGCAGAAATCCATATCATTCCAAAGGGTTCACATACTTTTTCTTGCAACTGTATTTCTGTTTCTAAGTATCCTCATCTTTATCACTGAGCTTTCCCTCCATAAACCCTCCCTGAAGAGATATCTGGCTACTTACAAGTTTTATCTCTCTTTGTTGGTTTGTGGAGGGAAGGCACGGATGAATACTGCAGAGCTGTAAAATGCCACTCTACCTGTTAACCACTTTAGTGTTGGGAAGGCAGGCAGGAGGCAAACACAGGACACTCAAAGCAGTACTCTGCAGGGGGAAGGGGGCAGAGCTAATCATCAATCTGAAAAGCTCTACCAAATCTGCAAGTATGTATTTCTCTCCACACTGCCTGTCTCCAAAATCATTGGGAGACATACTTACAGATCTGGGAGATACTGTTTCAGAGTTCCATCAGACAGAAATACCGGCCCCTGCATTGCCGGTTTTCCTGCAATAGCTGCACCAGCCACAAAGCCTGAAATATTGTCTGTCCCTATAAAATACCGGGTTGCAACCCTATCTTTGCAAGGCAGGTTCTCTGAGCTATTGCATGCCACTTGAGTTTAGTTCTACTAAGTTAGACTACCATGAAATAGTAAGAATGACTTGAAACTTAAAAAAATCGGTCTAGATGATTATTCTTGTTCTTGGGTAGAACATTGGCTTAAGGATAGAGTTCAACGAGTTGTCATTAATAGAACATTTTCAGACTGGACAAAAGCTGTAAATGGTGTTCCTCAGGGTTCTGTTTTGGGACCGCTTCTATTTAACATGTTTATAAATGATCTTGAAATAGGCATTGAAAGCCATGTTTCAGTAAGCAGGATATTGCTTTGCTGCAGATGGAATTTGGATAGATTGGGGGACTGGACACTAAAATGGCAGATGAAATTTAATGTAGAGAAATGCAAAGTTATGCACTTCGGGGTCAATAATGCAAAAGCAACTTACACCCTAAATGGTAGTGAATTAGGGATAACCACACACGAGAAGGATTTGGGAATTGTTATAGACAACAAATTAGACAGCAATATGCAATGTCAATCTGCAGTTGCTAAGGCCAGTAAGGTTTTGTTATGGATAAATAGAGGCATAAATTCTCAGGATGAAAATATAATTTTGCCTCTTTATAAATCGCTGGTAAGTCCACATCTTGAATATGCTGTGCAATTTTGGGCACCTGTTCTAAAGAAGGATATCATGGCACTAGAAAAAGTGCAGAGACAAGCTACAAAATTGATAAAAGGAATGGAGCATTTTAGTTACAAAGAAAGGTTCAAAAATGTAAATCTCTTTCGTTTGGAAAAATGGCGCCCCAGAGGGGATATAATAACATTATACAAATATATTCGGGGCCAGTACGAACCATTATCTCGAAATCTATTCATAAACAGGGCTATGTATAGAACACAAGGTCACACATTTAGGCTGGAAGAAAGGAGATTTAATCGAAGGGAAAGAAAAGTTTTTTTGTTTTTTGTTTTTTACAGTAAGAGCAATAAGGATATGGAATTCTCTGCCCAAAGAGGTGGTTTTATCAGAGTCCATACAGATGTTTAAACTGCAATTGGATAAATACTTGCAAAAACATAACATACACGGATATAATTTCTAATTAGTAGGGTAATAGCTGCTTGATCCAAGGAGACATCTGACTGCTATTTTGGAGTCAATAAGGAATTGTTTCCATAGTTTGCTGCAAAATTGGAAGTGCTTCAAACTTGGTTTTTTTTTTTGCCTTCTTTTGGAACAACGGCAAAAACATATGTGAGGAAGGCCGAACTTGATGGACGCAAGTCTCTTTTCAGCTATGTAACTATGTAACATTCTGATTGACAACAGGGGGGTGTAACAAGGTTAATTAATAAAAGTGTCAATTTCTATTAAAATCAACACTTTTTGAAAAAATGAAAAAAGATGATACACTTCCTTCTCACACTTAACGAACTTCAGCAAGAAAAAGTACTTTAGGGTTCTGGAGTGTGCCTTTAATAATCTGGTGTAGTATGTGGTTGTAAATATTTTGTATGGGGCCGAGTTACGCCAAATAACAAATAGCTTTTTGGACTACCTTAAAAAAATAAGCATTAATCTCTAGTAAATTAACCTTAAAATTTCTGCAATCTATACCACAGATGCTGTTCTTTCTGTTTCTTTGTGTTTTTACTTTGCATACATTACTCTCAATAGGAAACTGTTGAACTGTTGTGGATTTGTGTGCTTTTCCATTGCATAAAAACCACTGTAACACAAATTTACTGAGTGTATTTCCACCCTTGTGTCAATAATCATATAATTAGTATATATATTTAAACTTACTGTTTGCGTCAACAGTTTGTTTGGCATGTGGCTATTAAAATGGATAGATTGGTGTAAGGAGATGATATGAACCAGCAACCCTAGCTGATATTACTACCAATGGGAAAGTGAGTGGAAGATGAGAGTGCTAAAGATTGAGTTGAAGGAATTTAACCCCTTAAGGACACATGACATGTGTGACATGTCATGATTCCCTTTTATTCCAGAAGTTTGGTCCTTAAAGGGGTTAAAATGAGTTGACCTCCAAGTTAATATATTGAGCTGGGCGCAATAAGAGATCATAGGCGTGCGCACTGGGTGTGCTCCGCCGGGTTCCTCTCACGAGATATGAGCGTTGCCACGGCAACGTTCAAATCTCGCGAGAGTGAACTCTAGCCCCACAGGGGCTAGAGTTCACTCTCCACTGGACCACCAGGGAAAGCAGCAGCAACAAGGATCCACCCTCCCTACATAAGGTAAGAAGGGAGGGGGGATATCAAGTAATGTACCCCCACCTCCACCCCCCACAATCACCCACACACATACAGCACCCACAGACATACACAGCACCAACACACATAGAGCACCCACAGATATACACAGCACCTACACACATACAGCACCCATAGACATACACAGCACCTACACACATACACAGCACCCACAGACATACACAGCACCCACAGACATACACAGCACCCACACACATACAGCACACACACACACATACAGCACCCTCACACACACACAGCACACTAACAGTACCCTCACAAACAGGACCCTAACAAACACACAAACAGCACCCTCACACAGTACATTAACAGCACCCTCACAAGCGCACACACACACACAAACAGCACCCTCACACACAGTACATTAACAGCACCCTCACAAGCGCGCACAAACACCCTCACCCACATAGCACACTACCAGCACCGTCACACACACATCACACTAACAGCACCCTCACACAGCACACAGCAGTGTGTATGTGTGTGTGTGTATATATATATATATATATATATATATATGCGGCGTGTGCTTGTGCTTTAGGGTGCACACCCTAATGCAATAGGCTGTGCATGCCTATGTAAGAGATACTCATATCCCACACAGCCAAGGATCACTGTGATGAATTACACATAGCTACAATACAGAGATCACCACACTATCTCTCTCTCTCTATCTTCCTAGCCCTCTCACAGCTCTACCTTACATGATGTCATCTCCAGTAGTGTTCCTGCGATAATAACTTTTTCTATTAAATATTGAAAAAATAAAATAAGCTAAATTCATTTAAACACTCCAAATGGGCGGTAACTATAGCACAAGAAAGGACTGGAGTATATGGCGTAGGGTTAGTGAGAACCGAGCGTAGTGGGAACAAATTAATAAAAGTAACTAAATAACTGATACTCGTTAAAACTTAACATTTAATGTTAATAATTAAAAATATAAAGATGACGATACTATAAGGAAACCCATATGATTACACGCAGAGTGCTTGTTTTTTAACAAGATTTATTTAATAGTACTGTAAAGAAATCTATATAATTGGAAAAGTAGTGTAATATTGCCTAAAATGTACATTTAAATAGTACAGCTCACAAAAAAACACTTGCTACAATGTGCAACAATGAAAAATTCTCAATATACGCTAATGCATCTAAATGTAACCTCCTTAAAGGGATACTATTGTGCCAGGAATACAGAGTTCTTTTCCTAACACCATAGTTCCCTCTGCCTCCCCCCTCCCTCGTGCTCCCTCCGCCGTGGTGAATTAAGGGTTAAAACCCCTCTTTTAATTATCTGATCCCAGCGCCGAGGAAGCAGCTCTGCCTTCACCGGCAGCACTTGACGATGGTGCGCTAATGCACATGCGTGGCGAGTGAAGCACACACATTAGGCCTTCCCATAGTAAAAGCATTGTATCAATCCTTTCCTATAGGAAAATAGCTGACACTTGATGTCCGGTAACATTACGGAAGCGCCTCTAGTCTGTTAGACAGCCACTGGAAGCAGACTTAGTGCTGCAACCTAAACATTGCAGTTTCTCTAAAACTACAATGTTTTACATTGCAGCACTAAGAGCAACATGGACACTGTACCCAGACCACTTCAATGAGCTGAAGTGGTCTGGGTGCCTCTAATAATAGCAGTTCAAAAAAACTGGCACCTTGTATCATATAGAAACTGCTATAGGAGAAATTGCAAATTGCCTAAATATTTGTAACAAAAAGCTTCCTAAAAAAACAGCTGAAAGAGAAATAGCAAATTGCTTATATTCCTGTATGTTATTCGTTTGCAAGTATTTATCCAATTGCTATTCAAACACCTGTATGGACTCTGATAAAACTACCTCTTCAGGCAGAGAATTCCACATCATTATAGTTCTTACTGTAAAACAAACTATACTTTGCCTTATACTAAATCTCCTTTCAGCCTAAATGCATGACCTTGTGTCCTATGTATAGCCCTGTTTATTAATAGATTTCCAATAGAGTTATAAGAACATATATAGTATAGTGTGTTCAGTGAAATTAATAAAAATAAATAAAAAAAAAAACACTATGTGCTGTAAATCAACGTTTGTGCTCGGTGAGATGTGTAAAAGACATAAAGTAAATAGGTAGTGAATACTGGTGGAGATGCTAAATACAAAAAAAAAAACAGAATTGTTGAAAGCTCCCTAACCAGTGCTATAAAACACAGGGTTTTTGCAAAGGGGACCTATTAAGACAAAGGAAAATATTTCTCAAACAAAATACCGCTATCTAAGCATATCAATTTATACAATATGCGGTCGCCTCGATCTAATTTGCTAAATGATCACTAGCGCTGTCACCTGTTTGAACAAAAGTGGTCCCTTTTTAAAAAAAAAATCTTTACTTTTGAATGACATTGCTTATTAACGAAGGTTTGTAACTGAGCTTGTGCACAAGCCTAAATATTTGAAACATAACATAACGGTGATACAAGGCTAGATTACATGCAGGTCAAAGCGGTAGTTGAGTTAACCCAATAAACTTGTCTCTTAAGAAGGTCTAGTAACTCTGGTCAACCTCCTAATTGTGTCATTGTCTTTTATGTTAAATGTTATCATGGTCGCAAATGGTGGGATTGGTAAAGGGTGCAGGGTTGCTACTGGGGGCGGTGAGCTCTAGTGTATTTGTGGTGTTTGTGCTATTTCATTCATCTTCCCACTACTTCTGTTGTCAAATTACTTCTGGCCGTCTTCCCCTGCCCCAATACTTGCTGTCATGTGTTGTGACCTTCAATACTAGATGAGAGAGCTTTTGAAAGATGTACAATAACACAACATTTAATAAACCAAAGGCATTTCACCCCATTCTCATCAGAGGGGAACCGGCTTTGGTATGTGTCTGGTTAATGAAGGAGAATATCTGATTGGACAAATTTAAATTTGAGTGAGCATGAACGGACCAGTCAGCTTCTCTTTACTGCTTTGAATTGGCTCTATGGGTGATCTTAACATGAACTCCAAAAGTGGCTATGGTCCTGTTCTGAAAGGGTAAGTATCTGAAAAAGTGTTATTAAAATCAACTCAGTGTCATAAACAAGCTGATTATTACTTTCTGCTCTGAGTCTGAATCCACAATTGCAACAGAGGGATAACAATATTATTGCCAGTGCATCCCCAATGGACCACCCCTGAAAAATAAGGGAGGAGTTACTTCAAACGGGTCCACCCTCACTTTACCAGCCATGGAATGCCGTTTTTTTATTTATTTATTATTATTAATATAGCCAAAATTATAGTTTCAGAACATAGGAATGAGTAAGTACCTAATAACAGAATCTAGGACTTTATGTTCTTTGCTAATTGAGAGATGATAAAAAAAATACCAAAATCCATGGATTATCACCTAAGCCAGGGTTAAGCAACCTTCAGTTGTTGCAAACAACATCTCCCATGATGCTCTGCCAGCATTATGGCTGTAAAAGCATTATGGGAGAAACAGTCCAAAACATCTGGAGTGACGAAAGTTGCCTATCACAGTTCCTATTAGATCATGCTGCGTGAATGTTGTGTTTGTAAACCAACTGGAAGACACACAGGGATATAAAGATGATGGTACAGCTAAAACAATGCATTGGCAGATGGTACTGTAGTATGAAGTATGGTTACCAGCCCCAATAAGAGACTACTGATGTTTCTGTATTCCACTAGGAGGTTGTGTGCAAATAATGGCCAAATCTAGGGGGTAAGGTGATATACTATAAAACAGATGATAGTTCTGCCTAAGTGAAAGAATTCTATCAATACAATAAAATTTACTTTAATTAATTCATAATAATTAAATTAATCGCCTCTCTTTATCTCATACTAAGTGGATGTATAAACACCTAACTGGATTAAAAATAATCCACAGTAATGATCAACGAATAATGGAATCCTTAATCCAAAGAGTGTTGTGGAGACTGCTGAATTACCTATTAAGGGAATTACCTATTAAGGGAAAGTAAGGCAATGTAAGACTGAACATAGCAAATCTTTAACCAAATCCTAAATATTATTACTAGCTCTAAAATCAGTGGTTTGTAAGTTGTTGTGGTGTAGCACTTAGTGAATTATTTTATTGAAATACTATTTTATATAAATACATGTTTTTGGCAAATTTCAATCTTATAAGGTGTGATTTTAGTACACAGATTTTTATTTTTTTGTTCATATAATAGCATATTTGTGGTCAGAAACATAATAGTAATATGTGTGATTCGCGTTAATGCAATGTTGGTTGGGGTGTGCCATAACCAACGTACGGGTAGGCATGTAATAAAAAGAGGGCAAAAGGTATTAAAGGAATACCCCACTGCAGCAAATTTACAGAGCCAATCTTTTAAAAGCTTTCCTCATTTCTTTCTCTGGATGAGGTATATATCAATTATAGACTGAGGATTTCCATCTCGCTAATCTTTTGATAATATGCACTGGGATGTCAGGGATGCAAGTTGTGGAAGCTGCCCCTGTTGTAAATGAATGACCTGAGAATGATGCTGGGTTAAAACCTAATCTCAGGAGTAGGGTTCTGATGTAGAAGATGCATTTAGCAGTAGTAAGTAAGACCCCTTGAAGTTAGAGAAGTGGTGAGTTGTATGTGATATAACAGAGTGTGGATAGGTAGGAGTTAAGTATTTTAACCAGGCACCACTTTTTCTTGGTGGGATAAAGCGGGATAGTGGATAGATGATTAGTGTGGTTAGTCTTAGAGGTTTGTAGAGAAAGTATATAGTGGTTGTGGTGTTTATTGATATCTTATATTTTAAGGCTTTAAATTATGTCTTAAAACAAAAAGGGGGGAAGAGTCTGCGCTAACTCAAATAAGCAGCAACCCTAAAAGGGGAATCCCTCAAGAAACCCTTTGAGAAACAGGAAAATGCAAGAAATGGTTTTAATAAGTGTATTTAATTAAATAAAAGTTATTTTTGGTTACCTTTTATACTAGGACCAATCTTATACTTATTTTTATTGTATTTTATACACTTTTACTACTCCTGGCTTTTTTATATTTTACACCATTTTATAGTTCTTATTTTTTATCTTTTTATTTTTATTTTTAAATTTTAAATTCATTCTCAAGTGTATCCCGTCCAAAAAAATCCTTAGGTGGGGATAATTCCACCTGCGCTGTGGCAATAGAGCAGTATCTGTCTGCTCTATTTTTGTAAGTATAACTTATTTTATAATATTATTTTATTATCCACACTGAGAGCACTATCTGCTGTTTTATATATATCCCGTGGATACCTACTATCCAAAATCGGAGAGGCGGACCTATCTCCCCAGCACCAAAGAACAACATACATCTGAGTAGGTCCTAGCCTACACCAAAGGAATTCCAAGCCGGATAGACAGACCAACCATCTAAGTATATCCTATAGTGGGGATTAAACCACTAAGTGCCTCTTCTCCTAGAGCTGGTTCAAGCTCCAACAAATGTGAGTGAAACATCTTTCTCTTGATTATATACCACATCTGGACATACAATATTTCACCATTGGCAGCTTTCTCTTCTGTTTTTTATCGTCACATATATGGACTATCTACCATACGGACGGAGCAACACTTGAGGACTATTATCTTATCACCACATATCAGTGAGACTGTTTCAAGTTATAATTTTTTATTTTTATATTTGGATGAACTCTGTCTATTGATTACAACCTGATTTTATTACCATTGCTGATTTTATTTATATTTATAAAATATTTTGTTTTTTATTATTAATTGTTCAAGCGCAGCCCTTAACCCCCTTTCTTGTATCTTTAAATTATGTCTGTCTGTCTTACTACTGTAAACATTTGTGGTCACAGGAATCCGTAGAATGCTAAATATATGGCGGTTTTAAATTATTTGTTTGGTATGGTTGTCAAAGGGTCGGGTGTCCAGTAAATCAAGGATAGCTCGGAATATTGGACCATCGATCGGTAATCTGGATGAATCAGGGGATCTATCTGTTTTATTAATACCCCTTAGTATGCTTTTAACAGGATAGGATGTGAGAAAAGGTGTGTGATTGGGAAAAATGGTAAGTTCATGATGTTGAATTCCCATGAGATAAAGTTTGATCGTGTTCTGTTCTAATTTAAGGTGATCTTGCCAAAAAGAAGAAAAAGCTACTATAAATTCTATGAAGAAATTCTCCCGGATATGGAACTCCATGGCTAACGTTCCATAAACTGTTAAAGCACTATCATAAGCCATCTTTGTGTTGTCAAAAAGTGCTGAACGTGATCGGCTGTGAGCGAGAAGACTGGCTGGTCCATTACAAGCTATTGGAATAGTGGAGTTCTGGACGAACCTGTCTGCAGTAGGGTGAAGCTGGAAGAAGATCTGAAATTTAGATCGAGACAGGGCATCAGCCAATCTGTTATGAACACCTGGGATATGTTCGTAACACAAGTAAAATTGATATGAGACGGCAAGCCAAGTCAATCTTCAGATCAATCCTTTAATGGTCAAGGACGATGAACGCTTCTTGTTGATGATTTTGCATGCCACCACTTTATCACAAAGACATCTAATGGCCTTCCCTATCCAAAGATGACTCCATGTGTGAGAAGCTGATGCAGCAGCCCATACTGGGTTTGCTGCAGTTTTGTTGAATTTTTAGTTGAGAGATTCTTGGCCTGCTGAGACCCTCTCTCCTTGATGGCCTTCAAGGAGAGAGGGTCTCAGCAGACCAATAACTCTCAAACAAAAAATCTTATCAACTGTGGCAAACCCAGTATGGGCTGCTGTGTCAGTCATAATAAGAAATAATGCCATAATAAGAAAATGATGCCACATGCGTAAATAAGCTCTGCTTGGGGGGGTCATGGAGAACGGTGGCACCATCAGACGAGCCAGGTAGGAGTCAGAAAATAAAACACAATATAGGTAGATCCAGGTATTCAGGATGCCAAGGTAAAAAGTTGCCACTCAATAGGCACACTGCCAAGAAGCCTATATTGACAAAATCTAAACCAATAATGTGAGTGTGGAATAAAAAACACTACCTACACTACCACTTGGTTGTTTTAGGTGGTGGGTATTATTTATTATTATTATTGCCATTTATATAGCGCCAACAGATTCCGTAGCACTTTACAATATTATGAGAGGGGGATTTAACTATAAATAGGACAATTACAAATAAACTTAGGGAACGATAGGTTGAACAGGACCCTGCTCAATCGAGCTTACATTCTATAGGAGGTGGGGTGTAAAACACATTAGCACAGGAATTTGCAGTCAAATAAGGTGGGCTGCCCTTTAGGAGAGAGCAAGAGACAAGTATGTGAGGTAGAGGTTACTCTCGGAGGCCATAAGCTTTCCTAAAGAGATGGGCTTAAAAGATACAAGACTGGGGGGCGGAGCCTGACTGCTGAGCAGGACAGACGTGCTGCAAACCAGCTCCTGCAAAAAACAACAACAATGGGGAAAAATACCCCAAACACAAAATCACCCACAAGTCAGAGGGCATGGGACAAGCTGGGGAAACCCGGGGGCATCGAAGGAACCCACAAACGAGACTCACACTGCCCGGGATCCCACGCAAAGCACATGGGGCCTACATGCGGCCGAGCCAGGGAGAGACGGCCGCTCTTCTGGATGGTAAAACCGCACACACACCCCTCAGTGCACCAGCCTTCCCCCTCCCCCCCCCCGGCCGGCGGGGGTCATCCCGGCCCGCACTCGACATCCACAATCACCAGCAGAGACAGCAGTACAAGCCTGACCCTGACAAGCAAGGCTACAACCTCCTACAAGGCGCACCTAAAATGGCGGCCGGCAGCGGGATATGCAGGATGACCATGCGACCGACACAACCGCGCTGGAGAGACCCACTGCAAAGCTTAGAGGTGATACTGACCCACTTCTGGGATATCCACACACAGCGGCAACAACCAACGGGGGAAGGGACCTCGCAGCGCCCTGGACCCACATGCCAATCCCTCAGAGCCGGCGTCGGCTGACCAAGACGGCATGACCTAGAGACAGTCTGTGCCCCTGCAGCAGAGACTCTGCACGATCCCACCGCACAGTATGTCTCGCACTGAGCTCAGAACTGGCCCTAACATCTCACAGCAGAGACTGTAAGATACATATAGCAGCAGTGGAGCAAGCAACACAATATAATAACCACAGGCAATTAGCTTGTTAACCATAGATCATTTAGCCGCTGTTTATCCTTTGCATCTGTGTTCTAATGCATGTCAGTATCTACCTTTAAAAATGTGCAGATTCCACTAACTGCTTTTGAATGTTACCATTGTTTTTATGCAGGGCACCTTTATGCTCAGAGTGAATAGAAACAGGGCTACACAATGAAGGCTAACTCTAGCAATGTTAACTGCTGCATGTTGTGTCTAAGCTTAAATACACACAGTTTAACTTTTTAATGTAGTTTTACATCAAGTTACTGCTAACTGCAACCGTGCTTATACAATATGACTACGAATTTAACCTGAATCCACTCTCTAAGCACTTGACTACTCCAATCTCTAGAACCACTGTATGTTTACTGTCTCAAGCTTGAAACCCCATCGTGACCCACCGCAACAGTCATACAAAGCTAGCCTGTATATAGCATGTTTAAAATCTTTAAAGTGTCCCCAGTCTGTTATTTTTCTCATTACAAAAGACGACGCAACTGTTTAACCAAACTTGTTAAAAAAAAAAAAAAATTTTTAAATGTGCAGACTCTCATGCCACTGTTATACCAATGTATATTTTCCAATACGCTGTTGTGGCGTCTATTGATTCCTTGTACCTACTTGCACAGCAAAAATAAAGAATTAAAAAAAAAAAAGATACAAGACTAGGGGAGAGTCTGATGGCGGTAGGCAGGCTATTCCATAGGAAGGGAGCCGCCCGCGAGAAGTCCTGCAAGTGTGAGTTGGCCATACGGGTGCGGTCACGGGCAGAGCGGAGAGACTGAGAAAGACCGTAGCTATGAATCTGTGAAGAGATATAAGAGGGGCTAGAGTTATTCAGTGCTTTATAGGTGTGAATTAGTACCTTGAATTGACTTCTATAGCATACAGGAAGCCAATGTAAGGACTGGGTGAGGTGTGAGAGAAACGACTAGAGAGGAAAATCAGTCTGGTAGTAGCGTTCATTACGGACTGTAGTGGTGCAGTACGGCTTTTGGGAAGACCAATCAGGAGAGGGTTACAATAATCCATGCGGGAAATTACTAGAGCATGGACACGCGCCTTGTTTTTAAGATGGAATCTACAGGATTTGGCAACATGCTGGATGTGAGGCTCAAAGGTGAGGCCATAATCAAGTATGACGCCAAGACAGCGCGCTTGCAAGGATGGACTGATGTGGGTACCTCAAACTTGAAGGGAGAGTGAAAGAGGAGGATCAGTATTAGGAGAAGGAAAGATAATGAGCTCCGTTTTAGAGAGATTGTTTCAGAAAGCGGGAGGACATCCAGTCAGAGATGGAAGAAAGGCAAGCAGTGACACGTTGCAGGACGGCATGGGAGAGGTCCCGGGAGGAAAGATATAACGGTGTCATCAGCGTACAGGTGGTAGTGGAATCCAAAAGAGGTAATAAGTTTGCCAAGAGAGGCAGTATGAAGAGAAAATAGAAGGGGACCAAGGACAGAGCCTTGGGGGACTCCAACCGAGACAGGACGAGGGGAGGAGGTATCATTAGTAAAAGACACACTAAATGTGCATTGGGAGAGATAAGAGGAAAACCACGGGAGGACATAGTCACAGAGACCAAGGGATTGAAGAGTTTGAAGAAGGAGAGCATGATCAACGGTGTCAAAGACCGCTGAGAGGTCAAGAAGAATTAGTATAGAGTAGTGGCCTTTGGATTTATCTGCGATTAGGTCGTTAGTAACTTTGATAAGCGCAGTCTCAGTAGAGTGGAGAGGGCGGAAGCCAGATTGAAGAGGGTCAAGGAGAGAGTTGGAATTGAGGAAATGAGACACACGGGTAAAGACAAGTCTTTCCAGAAGCTTTGAGGAAAAAGGGAGCAGGGATATGGGACGATAGTTAGAGGGGGTGGACAGGTCGAGGGATGGTTTCTTTAGTATAGGTACTACAGTGGCATGTTTAAGGTCAGCAGGGACAATGCCAGAAGAGAGAGAGCAGTTGAAGAAGGCACAGGACAAGTGGAGAGAGATCTAATAAGGTGAGATGGGACAGGATCGAGTGGGCAAGTGGTGGGGCGAGAGGAACAGAGAAGAGCAGCCACCTCTTGGTCAGTAGCCGGGGAGAATGTCTGAAGGGTAGGAAAGGCATGATCTATGTGTGGGTGAGAAACAGAATGGCAAGGAGGGGAGAATTTTTTCCTTAGCTGTTCAATCTTGTCAGTAAAGTAACATGCAAAGTTATCAGCAGTAAGGTTAGTTTGGGGGGTGGCCACAGCAGGGCGAAGAAGAGAATTAAAGGTGTCAAAGAGATGCCTGGGATTGCGGGAGCATGAACTAATGAGAGAGGAAAAGTAGGACTGTTTGGCAAGGAGTGGGCTGTATGAACACTATGAATCTATAATGGAGAAAGTCTGACTGGGTGCGAGACTTCCTCCAGGAGCGTTCAGCACAACAGGAGGATCTTTGCAGGTAGCGTGTTGATTTAGTATGCCATGGTTGGGGGCGGGTTCTCCTCGAGGTGTATGTTTGGAGCGGTGCTGCAGCATTCAAGGCAGAGGTGAGGGTAGTGTTATATGCAGAGATGGCCAGTGAAGGACAGGAAAGGGAAGGGATGGAAAGCAGTTGTGAATAAATATCAGCTGACAACTGCTGAAGATCAAGAGAATTAAGGTCCCTCCTGAGTTGAGGGGGGTTAGGCTGAGGTTGTTGGGTGAGGGGTTACACGAGAGCAAATATGAGGTGGTAATCAGAGAGAGGAAATGGAGTGTTGCAGATATTAGATACTGTACATGCATAAGTGAAGATCAGGTCAAGGGTATTGCCAGCTACATGGGTGGGAGAATTAGCCCACTGTGATAGCCCGAGGGAGGAAGTAATTGAAAGTAGTTTAGAGGCTGCAGAGGTCAAAGGTGGGTTAATAGGAACCAGTTATTAAATCCAAGGGTTCGCATACTTTTTCCACCTGCACTGTGAATGTTTACATGGTGTGTTCAATAAAAACATGGCAACATTTCATTCTTTGTGTGTTATTAGTTTAAGCAGACTGTGATTGTCTATTGTGACTTAGATGATGATCAGATCACATTTTATGACCAATTTGTGCAGAAATCCATATCATTCCAAAGGGTAACATACTTTTTCTTGCAACTGTATATGTGTGTGTATATATACAGTTGCAAGAGTTGGATTTAATAACTGGTTGAACCTCCTTTGGCAGCAATAACTTCAACCAAACGTTTCCTGTAGTTGCAGATCAGACGTGCACAACGGTCAGGATTAATTCTTGACCATTCCTCTTTACAGAACTGTTTCAGTTCAGAAATATTCTTGGGATGTCTGGTGTGAATCGCTTTCTTGACGTCATGCCACAGCATCTCAATCGGGTTGAGGTCAGGACTCTGGCTGGGCCATTTCAGAAGGCGTATTTTCTTCTGTTTAAGCCATTCTGTTGTTGATTTACTTCTATGCTTTGGGTCATTGTCCTGTTGCAACACCCATCTTCTGTTGAGTTTCAGCTGGTAGACAGATGGCCTTAAGTTCTCCTGCAAAATGTCTTGATAAACTTGGGAATTCATTTTTCCTTTGATGATAGCAATCCGTCCAGGCTCTGACGCAGCAAAGCAGCCCCAAACCATGATGCCCCCACCACCATACTTCACAGTTGGGTTATTAGTTTAAGCAGACTGTGATTGTCTATTGTTGTGACTTAGATGATGATCAGATCACATTTTATGACCAATTTGTGCAGAAATCCATATCATTCCAAAGAGTTCACATACTTTTTCTTGCAACTGTGTATACAAATCACATACTTACACACACACACACACAAATATCAATGAGTGTTTAAACCATTGTAAGGATGCAGTATGTTAACAGAGGATTTCAGGTGAGGAGAGGTGTGTTTTGGAAATCAGCTGATTTGCACTATCTATAAGTAAGGTAATGGCCATGGGGAGGGTGGGCAATATTCCAGAGATGATACCTATGCTCAGAAGATTCTGCAGGACGTGGTTGCTTGGGAGTGCTGGGTGTTAATGCTGTTTTAAGGGGCCCAGTCTCTGCTCAGAAGATCCTACAGGACTTGGTTGCTTGGGAGTGCTGGGTGTTAATGCTGTTTTAAGGGGCCCAGTCTCTGCTCAGAAGATTCTGCAGGACTTGGTTGCTTGGGAGTGCTGGGTGTTAATGCTGTTTTAAGGGGCCCAGTCTCTGCTCAGAAGATTCTGCAGGACTTGGTTGCTTGGAAGGGCTGGGTGTTAATGCTGTTTTAAGGGGCCCAGTCTGAAATATAAGGTCTGAGGTTAGAAAAAAATAAATAAAATACACTATTATGGATGGGGAGACATGGGGTTATTGAGGTAATTAATTAGAGATGAAAAACTAAAGGAGAGAACATTTGGGATAAAAAGATATGAAGGATCAGATAGGTGAAAGTCATAAACCATGAACATAAATTTACAAGATTATCAGTGAGAGTAGTAACACTAGCTAAACAAACAATTAACAAAGAGTCTTAGAGAATGGACATAAAATTACATGAACATACCAACTTTAAGAAAAACAAAACAGATGATCAGGATGGGAGATATAGTTATCAATTAAGTAGTGATAGTATAGGGAGGGAGATGGAATAGAACATAATTTTAAAATAAGAGTTAAAAGGAATCAGTAATGCAGGAATTCTTGAGTAGATCTTCCAGAGATGATACCTCTGCTCAGAAGATTCTGCACAACTTGGTTGCTTGGGAGTGCTGGGTGTTAATGCTGTTTTAAGGGGCTCAGTCTCTGCGCAGAAGATTCTACAGGACTTGGAGTGCTGGGTGTTAATGCTGTTTTAAGGGGCTCAGTCTCTGCGCAGAAGATTCTGCAGGACTTAGTTGGTTGGGAGTGCTGGGTATACCACGTAAACACTGAGTTTTGTTCTGTGTGTTTTATTTTCTAAAATCTAAAGCAAGAATGTGAGTGTGGAAAAACCATACAAACAAGGTGGCGCTAAATGCCTAGACAAAAAACGAGATATGACAAAAATGCCTAGACAAAAAAACGAGATATGACTAATTTAGCAAAAAATTAATGCACAATTATTACTTTGTAATAAATAAAATGTGAATAAAAAAATAGATAGATAAACAGTACAATTGAAAGACCGGGATACTTAATCCGGCACCAACCACCGGAGTATATATTAAGGAACAACCAAAAACCCAACTGGTCGCGACTATGGGATACCTTCTGGTGGAAACACTGTGGTGGTAGTATGGTCTTTGTACTGCAGAATCGGTCTGTGGCTCAACGTGTTTCATCCCACGATATTCGGGACTTCCTCAGGAGCTGGAGATGATCTGTGGACCCCTTCCGAAGTCTCTTCTTAAATATTGGGAATCTTCGCGTTCAATCAGGTTGTTCGCATAAGGCATAATCTTCCATCCCGTCGCATGTATCGGCGCATAGTCTTGCATCATACACTATGACTGTTCAGGAGGGCCCAACAGTAAGATGCAGCCATCATGTAATGCAGAAACAACTTTATTGGCATTCGAACAGCTTCCACTAGGCAACACCAAACTCTACATGAGTAGAAGTCACTTGTAGTGGCGAATTTGTTATATTAGATGCCTTTAAATCAACAGTCACCTTAATTAATACCACAAATAAATTATATTTATAATAATCTATGCAAATAGATGGTTATGTTAAAAATCTATATATATGTTGTATACCGCTCCTTTCAATTAATAGAATTATTAATATAGTGCCAGGAATAATCCCTAAAAGAAACTGAAAAGGAGATCTACAAACTTAACTCCTTAAGGACCGGACTGTTTTTGCGATGTTGTACATTTGCGACCAGGCCTCTTTTTACACTTTTGTTGTGTTTGTGTTTAGCTGTAATTTTCCGCTCTCTCATTTACTGTTCCCATACAAATTATATATTGTTTTGTTCAGGACAAAAGGGGCTTTCTTTACGTACCATTATTTATATAATCTCATGTAATTTAATTTAAAAAAAATAAAATAAATTATGAAAAATTGAAAAAAATACATGTTTTTTTACTTTTACTTGAAAAATCTTTTACTCATCTACAAAAGCGAATGAAAAAAAATGCTAAATAGATTCAAAATTTTGTCCTGAGTTTAAAAATACCCAGTGTTTACATGCTTTTTTGCTTTTTTTTGCACGTTATAGGCAGGGCCAGATTAAGAGCCCAGTGGGTCTGGTGCTGACAATTATGACGGGCCTAATTACAGAATCATATCGACCAAAAACAGTAAAACACTCCAAAGCATCATGTATCTGATGGTGCTGGAGAGAAAGAAAACAGCAGCCATAAGAAAACACATACCCTAGGCTAATCTCTCTCTAATTTATGTTTTCATCTTTCAAGTAAATCCATAACCCCTAACAGCAGTGTCCAGTCAAGCAGGAAGTCAATGGGCATGGTAAAAGGGTGTGCCACTGACACAAATCACGTAACCTGCCAAAAGGGGCGAACATGCCCAAAAAGAGGACATGTCTGCTCAAAGAATTAGAAGGCCAGCCTGGCATGAATGCATGTCAGGCTGCCTGCCAATCATGCAGCTGGCCAACTAAGGGCATACTATGCAGACAGCACCCTGAGCTTGGCATAAATGCATCTAATGATGCGCTCACTCAATGCTTTCTAAGGACTGTCCCCTAGCACTCGCTGGTCCACTTGTCTCCTTACCTTCTTACTAGCAGGCAGAAGCTCCTGGTATATGGTCTGGGACAGAGAAAAGCTGTATGTAGTGAGTGTAGAAGAAAGGGAACATGCCACAGTGTTAGAGAGACCAAAGTCAGCATTACCTTAAAGGATCACTATAGGGTCAGGAACACAAACATGAATTCATGACCCTATAGTGTCAACACCACCATCTAGCCCCCCTAGGCTCCTCATGCCTCCATAAATATAGCAAAATCTTACTATATTCAAGCCTGAAGCTGTAACTCTGCATGCTGTTAGACTCATAAAAACAAGCAGTCTGCTGACATCATTAGAAGTGGTGGCCTGATCCAACCACAGTGCTTCCCCATAGGATTAGCTGAGACTGACAAAGAGGCAGATCAGGGTCAGAGCCAGCATGATTCAAACACAGCCCTGGCCAATCAGCATCTCCTTATATAGATGAATTTAATTAATGAATCTCTATGAGTTAGGTTCAGTGTCTGCATGCAGAGGGAGGAGACACTGAATGTTTGGATGCATTTTAGGCAACCATGACCCAGGAAGGATCTCTAACAGTCATCTAAGGAGTGGCCAGTGAAGTTATCACTAGGATGTAATGTAAACACTGCATTTTCTCTGAAAAGACAGTGTTTACAGCAAAAAGCCTGACAGTAATGATTCTACTCACCAGAACAAATTCAATAAGCTGTAGTTGTTCTGGTGACTATAGTTGTTCCCATACATCTCACTTAAGTTTCCATACTTAAGTAAGAGTATGTGAAAAGTAGTTAGGGTTGCCACCTTTCTTGGAAAAACATACCGGCCTTACTAATTTGTAAAATTAAATATGTATGGGTGACATCACATGATGTAAATCACAAGGAGTGACATAAGAGAAAATGCTGTAAAATCACCAAAAAAACTACTTAGTTTGATTCTGCTGTATAGATGGATTCCTCCCAGTGCCCCCATGTCTCCCAGTGCCCTCATGACTCAGTGCCCCCATGTGTCGATTACTCCAGGTCTCAGTGTTCCTATGTATCAGTGTCTCAATGCCCCATGTCTCCCAGTGTCCCTTAGTGTCTCA